AAGTGACAGAACCACAAATTCCTTCAGCTTCAGCATGAGGCAACAATGCTTCCTCCTGGCACATTTGGTGACTGCAGGATGTATATTGCATTCGAATGAAGCATTTGTCTATCAACGACCAAGGATACGAGGATTGCAGAAAGCTCCATTGCTTCCTCAGTCCAAGAATACCGTTACTCTTCACGTGACACCTCCTGAATCAGACTCGAGCGACGTCTTGTCGGAGGAAACCTACAGTGAGCAAATGACAATCGAGCCATCAGAAACAACGGATATCGAACCAACAGCGACAGCAGGAATGGAAGGAGACGAATTATTTTTTGCCAGCGTTGTAGAAGAAGGTAATGATTTGTTGGAAGAAACTTCTAGCATTTATGTCACACCTCCAATGCCAATGCCAATGCCAAACCAGATAGACAAGAAAGTTGACAAGGAATCATCGTCCCTACTGACTCGTAGGGCATGGTTCCAGACAGGCGCCGTAGTGGCGACGGGGACCATCGCTGCCGCTGCCACTATTATGAACGAGCGTGCTTTGGAAGCGAAGAAACAAGCAAATACCTTTCAACCCAAAGTCTCTCCCTTTGCAAGAGCCAATTCGACGGCAGCCAAAACAGGTGCTCCAAAAGCGACTCCACAGAAAAATGCTGCTCAGCCTGCGACGACTGCCAAAACAACTGGTGCTCCCAAGGCTACTGCTACTCCCAACGGAATCCCAACAAAACCCGCTGCCAGCGTAAACCCAGTAAAACGGCTTGAAGCCACAGAAGCGGAAATCATCAAGAAATTGGAACCAGTCAATATCACTCAAGTCGCAGCGGAAACTAATGTCAATATTACGCTCAACTGCCAGGATGCTTGCGTCTCTATTGATCCTGTCACCTTGACCAAGGTGCAATCCAAAAAAATGCCAACTTGGGTTCCCAGTTGGCTGGTTCCTCGTCCCAAGGTGATTAAACAAATTTCAAATGCGGAATTGTTGGTGGCTGCCACAATTGCCGGGTCCATGGTCGATGTGGGAAGGACCTCCCTCTTGTATCCGATTCAAACAGTAAAGACGCGAATTCAAACCGATATCAATAATTCGACGCGGACATTCGTTCCAGTCAAGGAACGCATGAGGACGTTTGGTAGTAATGTGAAGAGACACATTGACGAAGGAGATTTATATGCCGGTATTAAACCTACGTTGCTAGTGTCGGTTCCGGCTACTGGCATTTACTATGGTGTTCGGGATGTTTCCAAGCATGTTCTGGCTATGACGCCGCTGAATGGAATTCAAATTGCTCTCTTGGCCGCTTTGATTGGGGATATCGTGTCCTTGTGCTTTCGGGCTCCGGCCGATACTTTGAGGTTGCGCTTGCAGAATCAAGACGACAATGTGGGAGATTGGTTTGCGGATTCGCTCAAGAAACTTCCTCAGATTATTATCACAGATCTGCCGTACCTTTTGTCCAAGATTGCATTGAATCGGCTGCTGATACATGGGAGCATTAGTATTGATCAATATACCGAATATGCAATCATTACATGTAAGTTTGATCTATTGGTTTGGCGAAACGGGTTGTCTGTTGTCTGGCAAATTCTAATTGTTTTTTTTAAATAAATTTTAATTGCACCATAGCTTCGATTGCGGCCTTGTTGACAACACCCTTTGATGTGGCACGAACGAGAATACTAGTAGACAGTGACATGGATTGTTCAAATGGATTGGATGGTGGGAGTGGAGAAGGAGTGATCCAGACAATGAAGTGTGTTGTGAAGGAGGGTAATGGTGGCTATGCCAACCTCTTTGCGGGATGGTTTGAGAGAGTTCTTTACTTGGGGGTAGGTCGAGCCTGGTTCGAGCCGATTCAACTGATAGGATATATAGGAATCCGAGATACAGTACTATTGGAGTGGTTTTAAGGTGAAGTCCGTGAAGAATGCAAAGCATAGTGAACAGAATAGAGTTTTTTTCTTGCTTTTTGTCGAAAGTGAGCAAGACAAGATGCAAGACTAGGTGTGCATCAAATACCGATTCATTCGTTGTGCTGCTGGAGGATGTAAACCAGGCTGTAAAGTGCGTCGGCAAGACTCGTTGCTTTTTATGCTTTGCAGGCATCCAAGCCCGCGAATTGGATGAATCCAGTTGCCTCCAGACAAATCTATGCCTAGGTCACTTTCCTCATTTCCTCCTTTACTTTGGCTACTTTTGGGTGATCGGCTCCATAAACCTTTAGATACACTACCAGGGCTTTTTCGTAGTATATTTTGCTGTCCTTGGGCTTGCCTTGGTCGCACAGTACGTTAGCGATCTTGGTACATGTGAAACCGACTAGTGGATGGCCCTCGCCCACTGACTTGTAGTACGAGTCCAACGATTCTTGGTATGTCGATAGTGCCTTTACCAGATCACCCTCTTTGCGAAGCAGGTTGGCGATACAATTGAGGGTAAAGCTGACATATGGGTGTGCCTTCCCGGCAATCCCTCTCTTGATATGAAGTGATTTCTTATAAAGCTCCATTGCGTCTTCCATCTTATCCTGCATCTCATAGACCGTTCCAAGGGTATTGTACGCGTAGCTTGCTTGCAAAACATCTTCACCACAAGTCTCCCTGAAAATCCCCAGCGCCTGCTTCAGAAGGTCTGTGGCTTCGACAAGTTTGCCTTGTTGCTTGAGTACAGTAGCCATACTGTGGAACGTATTTGCCGAATCTCTGTGAATCAAGCCTACAGTCTTCTTGTATATTTGAAGTGATTGTTTGTACAAATCCAGAGCTTCTTCAAGATTCCCCTGGCGCTGAAGCGAATGGGCAAGTTTGATACATACGGTTGCAACCTGGATGCTATCTTCACCAATCAAATTACGAAATGCATTCAAAGACTCCCGGAACACAGCAATGGCATCATCTTCTTTTCCTTGCTTTCTCAAGACTGTGGCAATTTTCAGATACGCTGATCCTATGGATTCATGTAGCGGTCCATACTTCCTCATCTGAATTTCCAACAATTTTGTGTACACCTTCAAAGCAAGATGATACTCACAAAGTTTAATTTCAAACAATGCCCCAAGGCGGTCCAGCCTTCTTTCATCTTTGCTCGTTTCAAGAAGTTCGTGTACAAAAGAGAAATCCAACACATTGCCAGTCGCAATGTGCTTTAAATCCTCTAGGCTTTCTTCCAGCGTATCAGTTTCGCCAACATAGTATGACCGGAAGTATTCATAGGACTCGTGACTTTCCATTTCAATACACACTTTCTTCAGATCTTTCTGATGGATTTGTAATTCGCAAGTATGCTGAAAGCCACCGTCGGCACTTTTCAAACGAAACTTGACATTGAAATCCCGGTAACCGGTGAGAGTCGGATGTTTGAATCTATTTTTGGCCTTGACAATTTGTATATGGTCAGAGTCACGGATCAACTCTAAGCATATGATAATATCGTCAACTGTTTCAAAAATTACGCTAAGTCTGTTGATATCAGAAAGCCATGCAATATCAGGACCAGGGCCTTTGTCATGATACTCATTCTGGGCCTTTTCCAAAGCCCGCTCTCTTCCTTTCAGTGGGACGTATACCACACGGATGTCTGATAATGTCTTTGTTCTCTTCTTGGCCTGCTCTACGATTCCGTTGACAAATTCTTCGAACAACGGCCTAATGATGGTTGCCGCCTTGTAAAGCTCATCCAACGTCCTGGCAGGTTCTCCCAATGTTGATTGCTGACGAAAGTCCTTTTCGTGTGAACAATTTTCGGGTAGTCCTAAGACAAAGTCTTCCAGCACTTTGGAACCTTCTATTTTCTCAAACGTGGCATCCATTCTCTTGCGACATTCCAAGAATTTGTGAGCTGTCTGGAGAAATGTTTGAGCTTCAGGTCGAAGAAGGGAAGAGGAATCGTCGTTTTCCTGAAAACCTTTGATTCGGTCTAGTACTTTTTGAATTTCATCTTCGCCATCGCTGGCCGAAATATTTGTCATATCAATGAAGCCACGATCGTTCGATTATTGATTATGGAAGGTCAGATGGTGATTCATTCATTCTGCTCGGATGATTGAGCTACAATACCGGTAGATGGTACAGTTCATGTAGCACGCGAAAAGTGAGTAAAGACATCATTTCATTCATTCATCGTACCGATCCAAAATCGGAAAAGTGTTTGATTCCTTCGACTGCATATAAGAAAGCCGGCAGCATCGGACTGATTGCCGGATCGCTCGCAAGTCTACCATGATGTACAGAAAATTTGAAAACCGTCCCAACCCCCAAGGCTGGCAACGGATCAGTTTCAAGGACCAACGACCTTTGTTCAATCACTCTCTTGTCCCATTTACAACATCAAGCATGAGTGCATCCCGTATTGAATACAGTGAAAAATATGCTGACGATCACAATGAATACCGGTAAGAACTTGAACAACGGCATTTGCATTGGTATTCAGTCCTACCTATGCTGCCAACAGAACAATTTTCCACTAACACGTTCTTCGCATTTTTCCAGTCATGTCATCCTCCCAAAAGATCTTGCCAAGACCCTTCCCAAGAGTCGCTTGCTAACAGAGTCTGAATGGCGTAGCATTGGTGTGCAACAAAGTCGGGGATGGCAACACTATGCCATTCACAGGTGAGCCGAAGACCTCAATCACAACGTAGTGACAGTCATCTTTACACCATGGAGCTTGTATTTCTCACTGTCTTGCTTCTGTTCCTTCTCTGTCACACCACTATCTTTGCCATCTTTGCGATCAAATTTTAGACCGGAACCACACATTTTGCTATTTCGCCGTCCCCTAGGAACCGATCCTCAAAGTGGACGGGTCGATCCTGAATTGGAACGCAAGGCTCGCGAGGAGTACCTTGCCCAGTACGGAGTCACCCGCAACTAAATAAACAAGAGACATGGGGTGTAAGACTGGGATCATATGGTGCTCATTATTGATTTGAAAAGAGGTTGGAGATTGATCGATTCAGTTTCCAATGATGTTTCGAATTGTGGCACATGTTGTGTGATCCATTTAGTCTTTTTCTTGTTGGATGCGTTGATGCATAAATCTGTATACTGCTTTCGCAATGTACTAGACAAAATAACTAGAAACAAATGATTTTCAATTTTTTGGTCGAGGAGCTATGAACTTTCTTTTGTTCCATGATGATGATCCTCAAACTTATGTACAAGTATGGTATTGTGATGATGTGAAATATATGACCCCCAGACACACTTCATCTACAGGTCCATGCGCCACATCTACCGGTACAGATATTTGCTAAAATATTCGCTATTAATATTTGTTTTACTTTATTAGGCATGTGATAAAGCAAAAGTAAGATTGCATTAAATTCTTATACCACATATTGGTTGTAGCTCAAATGAACTTCAAACTTCTTATTGGTTCTTTTCTCGTTGCTCCGCTCGCAACTTCAACCCTTCTTCAGGGTGTGTCAAAGTAGAGTTAAAGATTCGACCTGGAGATCCTTGTCCCAAAACATCATCGGGATCAGGAATGTTGGGGTCGAACCAGGCACCTTGTCCCTTTCCACGAACTTCCCTGTCAAGTCTGTCTTCTTCTTCGGCAATGAGTTGCTTGTAGTCCTTGGAGTTCTCTACCGAATGGAGGTAGGCAAGTTCCAATTGCTCGTGGGCCGACTCGGCAATAGAGGCAATCTCTTGTGAAGTCAAAGCACGCTCCTTTTTGGCAGGAGATCCGGACCACAATTCTCCACTGGGAACCTTGGTGCCAGGTGTGACGATTGCACCGGGAGCAATGATGGAGTTGGTACCAACAGCAGCACCATCCATGACTTGCGCGGATTCTCCGATCATGCAAAGGCTCTCAATGGTGCAAGCGTGAATGATAGCACCGGCACCAATGGTCACATTGTCGCCTATCGAAGTGGGGATGTCTCCTTGAATCTTGGCTACGTGAACAACTGCTCTGTCACCAACACTTGTTCTGGTTCCGATGGTGACATTATTCACATCACCTCTGACAGTGGCACCGTACCAAACGCTGTTTCATGGAGGAAAGGTAAAACAGAAGGAATACGGAAGTTTGATGGATGGATCCAGAAAGACATTATCATGAGAGACTGTGGCGGAATCAACTGCTTTAAGAACGAGAAAAATGTATACGAACCTGGAATGATCACCAATGGAAACCTTCCCGATTACAGAGGCCGATGGAGCGACAAAGTTATTGGATCCTCCAACTGCTGGTGCGATGCCATCAACAGCAATGAATCGAGTGGAAGGAACCAACTTTTCAGTGTACTTGGCAACCTCAATATTAGCTCCCAAGCCATCCAACATGGCTCTGTAGAAACGAAAATGAAAGATATGAGCGAGTGGATTTTTAGCACACTTTTACAATAGCAAAACAAAAGAAAGCAACACCAAACGGAACCAAATCCATCGGAATGTTGAGGATACCTCAACAACAGAATTTCAAGGCATAAACTCACCCCATTCTCCGGGCAGCGCCAGATGCAGCGACTGCTACTCGTGTGCTTAATGACGCCATTGTCCAAGGTTTATTGGTTGAACTGAACAATGTAAGAGACCAAGACGATGGCAACAAAATCCAGCAAGAGGTCGCTTGCGGTGGTGCTGTTCTGTCGACGTACGATACTTTTTGAGTGCCCTCAGCCCCGTCTGTGTGATGTACGGATCGTCTGGAAGCCAACCGATTAGCATTTCCTTTTCTCCGATCCGATCGAGAAACGCGCGATATTGACGCGATTTTCGGACGATGGGATCTTGAGAACACAGGAGTCATCGACAAACTCAACCATCAACACCTCGTGAACAATCTCCCTACCAATAACCGCCATCTTCCATCACAACAATCATGAAGACAGCCCTAGTAGCAGCTAGCTTATTGCAATCCACAGTTGGATTTTCCACAACGCTAAAATCTGCAAATGTCATCTCATTGCCAGGTTTCAAAACGGGAAGTCAACCCGTCAGTCGCTGCTCCTCGGCACTCCCTTCTACGATATCTTCCAATGATGACCTGCTACCTGGAATCTCTGCGATTGGGGAAGCCAATGGTCAGCTGTCGGAGCAATTGGAAGGTCTCAGCGATTCAAACTACTTTCGGCTGTATTGTGTGGATATTCTTGCAAGTTGCGAATACATGCCACAGGAACTATTTGAATGCTACAGTGAAACTTGTGAAGTGTATCCCATAGATGATGATGAGGTATGTTGTGTTCTGCAGTTATCGATGTCAGCAACTGAATTGAAATTTAAGAAACGTCTCACGTATTTGATATGCAGATTCCTGAACGTCTACGCACACATGATTACAATGAAAACGAGTTTGAGATAGACGGCTGGGCGCGATGGGACATGCCCAGCAACGACTATTATGATCTAGAACAATTCCCAGAAGGATACACTGCCTATGACGGATCCTCAGTCTGGAATTACATTCACAGCAAGATTTGTTTTCAGAACTTTGGATACGATGATGATCATTGGAAGGCCGACTTCAACAAAGCTGTTTCCGGCTTGCACTCAGTGGTCTCGGCGCAAGTGATTCGTGGGATCAACGACAAGGTGGCGAGTGGCGAAGCTTTTGGAGCTGATGAGGTATGGACGGATCCAAAGGCTGAGTTTGCCAGACGAATGGGATCCACAGGCGAGACTCCATTGGCAGTGGAGAATTTGTACTTTACATACATGATATTGCTATCAGCTGTGGGAAGTATGCGAGGAAAATTGATGCAAGATTGCGATGCTGGAGTCTTTGATGCGGAAACTGCTTCTTTTATAAAGACTGCCATTTCACTGCCTATTTTTGATAATCCAGCCATCGGGGTGGCTGCCCAAAAGCTCAGCAATCATGCCGTCCAATCGCCTGGCGATTTGTGGGAGGCCCGAATGAGAAGTCGAGAGCTACTGCGGATAGTAAATTGTGTTCAGTGTAACAAGTGCCGATTACACGGAAAAATTGCCATGATGGGCTTGTCCACAGCGCTGCAAGTGCTAGTTGGTGGTCCCAATGGAAAGATGCAAGACCCCAATCAGATTCGCCGCGTCGAGTTGGCCGCCCTTGTAACAACACTCTACAAGGCTTCGAAAGCAATCAAATTGTGTCAGCAAATGACAGTTTAACTTCTAGAACAACCCATGCTCATACAACTTTGCACAATCGATCGTGTTCCTCTCAGAAAACATGGCGGCGGCTACAGTAGCGCGCGCAAAACCAGATGAAAATCTACAGCAGATTGCGTGAAATGAGTGAATTAGTTTTGCTATGATTGATTCTGCGCGATTGAGCTCCAACTGCTGTTCGGAGCATCATTGGTATCCAACACGCCCCCCTAGAGGTCACCACGTTTGCAGTTCGCAATGACTACGAACGAGTTGCGAAAGGGTTACCTCTAAACACGGCCTTATTCATTTGGACTTGTTACACAGTGTGCAGTGTTTGTTGATACCACCAAAGGTATACCTTGCGCGCATGTCGCAAAAGGCATGACTTTCAAATGCAAAAGCATGCAAATAGAGAATGTAGTAAAAGTCCTCATCCAGTGGTATATCTTGGTGTTTGATCGATTGTCGATCCTTGAACTTTTGACGTCTGAGCATCTGGTGTTGGCTGAATCATTTCGGATGTTGCAGGTACAGGCTGGTCTGGATCGTATGGACCCTTGGGGTTGCAAATGAGAGTGACACAAAAGCATTTGGCAACTCCATCCTCTCCCTTGATAAGATTCACGCTAAGACCAAGGTCGTTTCTGTTCTTCATTACTCCGCGCAGTTTGCAGGATGTTGCTGGCTCTCCAGCAGCCGGTCCCGCAGGCTGAAGCATGTGGCTGATAAGGTCGAATGCGGTCTGGAGATCATCTCTGAACGTGAGATTGAAGATTGTCATGGAACAAAGTTCTCGCTTGTCGTAGTTCGAAAGTTGGCAGAAGAGTTGGTTGCAATCCATGAAGGCCCCTCCCATTGATGCAATGGCCTGGTTGTTGAAAGAGTTGAAAAGAGTGAAAAAGAGTGAGCCACATGTATCTTGCGCCGAATGATATTATACGAATGCGCCTAATGCTAACTCACCATTCCAACTGTACATGAGTTGAAGACGAAACGGTAATCGCCATCATGGATCATATTTAAAGGAGATCCGTCCTGTGCACTTTGTGCTCCTGCTGCAGCGCTTGCACCTTCAGCAGCTCCTTCTGAAGGTTGGTGATACATCATTGCAGACTTTGGTGGCATACCTCCAAAGTTTCCAAGAGACCAAACACCATTCTGAGCTGCAACATGCCTCACAGCAGAAGCAGCTTGTTGTCCCAACGCTCCACCGCCAATCATTTGAATCTGTTGCACAAGTTGATGCCTGTCACTGTGGTTACGGAAAAGTGTGTCAGCTCTCGTGATCGCAAAAGTCAATTAAGCCATTGTCAATAGACTTTACAAACTTACATTTCAGAGCTGTAGTGATGCTGCTGAAGCAGTCGAATGTAGTTCGCGGCTTCAGTGAGAACAGAACTCTTTGTCCCCTTTGGAACAATAACGCCGCCACTAGATAGTAGGTTTCGAAGTTCACCGATTTGCTTCGATATACGGAAACTTCTTTCTTTCTCTCTGGCATTACGTTCTTCTCGCTTCGAATCACCGCCCTTTCTCTTTTTCCTCCCTCCCTTTTTACTCTCGGAACCAACCGTCTCCCCATTTTCGCTGTTTGCCATACTCCCAGTTCTTCCTTCTTCATCGGTATCATAACCTCCACTATCGCTCCCTATGCTTGGCTTCCTTTTTAAAGAAGCTTTGCCCGCTGAGAAATGAAAGGACATATTAGCACCCCTGGCACTTTGTACCCAAGATCTCCATCATGATGTAACTTACCATTCCCAGGCTTTGATGCTGCAGCACTCTTGTCTCTTTTTGCTTGCTGGTTCAGCGGTGGATTTCCAGCATCCGTGGTACCGGAAGATGATGACGAAGGGTCTTGTTTCCGTGATTGCATGCGTGGGGCAGGGGCTTTCTCAGTCTTGATGGACGATTGACTCTTAGACTTCCCACTTGATGATACGCCACTTGACGATACCGGCTGCTGGTTGCCACCATCACTATCACCATTTTCAGAATTGTTGTTTGAGTTGTTCAGCGAATTGTTCATGTTCAACGAGTTGTTCATGTTTAGCGAGTTGCTCAGAGCGTTTTCGCCTTCACTGTCAAAGTTGAAACCAAAAGAAGTATTCCCGAGACTGATCAGCGCCGAGTTGTCCGAATTGTTGCCGCTACCACCACCACCATTCGAGCTATTGCTGCCAGTCTCGCTCGTTTCTTTGTTGAATGGCTTTGTCATGATAATCACTCTAATTGTAATTCCTTTGCTTTTATATGCTGTCAATATGCTGTCACTATCTGTTGTCGTTTGTTGCGTTGTTTTCCTCTGTTTGTGTTTGTTGTATTGCCTGTCGTGTTTGTTGTATTGCGTGACGAGAAGCAGCAGAGGTTGTCCTCAGGTGAGAGAAAAAAGGGAAAATTGCTCTGTTCGCTGCTGTTGCGTGTCCTCGTGTGGTACTGTGGTACTGTGGTACAGTTCCCGTACGATCGGATGACATAGTATATGTCGGTACTTATTTCACGACGAGCAAGCGACGCCCATGACTCACGTCCCTAAGTTTATAATAATCATTGCCCAATGAAATCTATCGAAAAATCTGACGTGGAAATCGATCAGCTATTTTTGTCGCTTCTTTAAGGGCATTCAAAGAATGACGTATGCGAACCTTTCGTCATTGACTGTCGGATTCTCTTCCAATTTGGGCCTGTTCCAGCCCTTTTGTGAAGTACAGTATGCGTGCTGTGCTGTATTATTCATCGCGAAATAATGCCATCGTCATGATTGGTCGATCATCATTGACGATCCGAAAAGCATCCCGGTTGTTGGAGAAACAGCTAATTACCTGCGAGGAATTGGTATCATACTGCAACCATTTGGCAGTGGCTGGTGAAGAGATTTGGGGACTTGCCGCTTACAGCCACATTGTATCCAGAGCCAATTTATTGGACCTAGCTCAAGAATCCGATGGTCGAAGAAAGCATGGAGAGACCCTCTCAATTTTGGATGGAATTCCAGTATCAATAAAAGAAAATATTGCAGTTCGAGATGTTTCGCTTACGGCTGGAAGTCGGATACTCGGTAGGGGAATGAAGGATCATCCGCCATGTGGTTATGATGCGGATGTTGTTCGGAAACTGCTGCGAGAATCAGGAGCCATCATGATGGGGACGACGACCATGGACGAATTTGGTATGGGAAGCCTTGGGATGAACATGCCAACAACACCAGCAAAGAATCCATTGCCCTACATGAGAAATCTCACGCCAAATGATTTGACATCTCTTTCTGATGATGAAGTAGATTTGTTTTTTGCCAAGCTCATCAAATCCTCGCAGGATGAGATCTTGGAGATTCATTCAAAGGCCTTTGATGAAAGCTTACCAGTACACTCTACAGGTGGCAGCTCTAGTGGATCTGCCGTGTCTGTGACACACGGCTCGGCGTTGCTGTCACTAGGCACAGATACTGGAGGTTCCGTTCGCCTGCCAGCTGCTTGGTGCGGGATCGTTGGACTCAAGCCATCTTACGGAGTTCTTTCGAGGCACGGCATTGTCAGTTATGCATCGTCATTTGATACGGTTGGTGTCCTTGCCCCATCTGTGGAATGTGCCTCGATTGCTCTGGATATATTGGGAGAACGGGATGAGGCCGGAAGTCGGGATTCTACCGCCTCACAATTACAATTTCAACTCAAAGACTTCGATGAAAAGCAGGCTGCCGCATCAGAAAGGCCATTGGAGGGAGTAAAGGTGGGAATTCCAGCTTCCTTGTCGATCGAAGAATGCCCTGACGAAATTAGAGAGGCCTGGATGAAAGCGGCGAATTTCTTGTCTCAACGAGGAGCTACTGTTATGGAATTGTCGACGGATGAACTCTCGGTGGACCTTGTTCAATTATCCCTGGCGACTTATTACATTTTGGTTAGTGCAGAAGCCAGTTCCAACCTGTCGCGGTATGACGGATTCCGCTATGGCGTCGCTGCTACAAGAGACGACGCGTCGAGCGAATCATTTCATCTTGACGCTACGGATCTAGAACGACAATATGCTGCCACAAGAACGGAAGGCTTTGGTATTGAAGTTTCGAGGAGAGTCCTGTGTGGTGCATCGGTCTTGTCTTCTGACAGATTCCATAGCCACTATGAAGCAGCAGCGAAGCTTCGCGCAGCCTTGGCAAGTCAGATGCACTCGTCTCTCAAAGAGAAAGTGGATGTTTTATTGTATCCCACCGCTTTATCCGCACCACCTCGAATCGATCAGGGGGAGATCGACAGTACAGAGACCTTTGCCAACGATGTCATGACAGTCCCCGCTAGTCTCGCCGGTCTTCCAGCAATATCCATTCCTGTGGCCCCGAAGGATGACGGACGATTTCCTCTAGCCCTACAACTGGTGGGATATCGACATGGGGAAGCAACCATACTGAATGCTGCCAGAGTTTTGCAAGACATGAGTCCTTGATAATATAATAATACAAAATTTATACAAGCTTGCCAAAAGCCAAGGTTGTCTTGACTCAATTGCTATCGTACACTTGGTCGTAAGTCCTTTCTACACAGCGGACAACAAGTTTGACGAGCGCGTCTTTGCTTTCGTTCCTCGGACCATACTTCAGGGTCCACGTCATTTTCTCCATTCTGTGCATTTGGATCAATTTGCCACATACCTCCTACCCAACCATACAGGCAGTCGGTGTGGAAGAGATGTCCACAAGGTGTCCGAATCATTTCTTGTTCGTGTGTGACTACTCTTGTTTGTGATTCATCGCCTTCGTTGACCTCGTGGACACGAGTCGTTTCGTCCAGTTTGAAATCATTCATGCAAATGCAACACTCCTTGATATCGCAAGGTTCGCCGTTTAATATCTCAGTTTCATTCTCTGGAAGCAGGAGTACTCGTCGTTCAGTGCCACCTGGTTCGGAATTTGAGCTTGCGACAGTTGCCAACTTTACTTTTTCCAGGCTATCCATAATCTCCCCGGCCGTAATTCCACCATTGTTGAGAATGTTTTCTTCCTCACGCATGCGTTCCTGCAAGTGTGCAAAAGCTTCAGCTTCTGCTGTAGCTCGTCGTAAAAACCATAGATATATGCACGGAAGAAATAGTAGTGGCAGTATCAGGGCAAATGTGAACATTTCCAGGGTAGCAACATAAATAGACAGAGCTTGATACAAGTTTGGGCATGTTGCTGCGCAGGTGTTCAGAGGACCATCAAATTGCGCCTTGAGTTGCTCATCAATCTCTGTCAGTAATTCATTCTCAATCAAATCCTCGTTACAAGTCTGAATTAATGTAACACCAGTGTAAACATACAGCAGACATATCGTGTGGAATATCTGGTCATAGACTCGAACACGAGCAGGCCGTACTGGTCCATCTCGTTCTCTGGAATACTGGAATAGATGGGTCCGAATCCTTGAATGCTGTGGCACATATACCACAAGGATTAATGAAGATAATGCATACCAGTGCAACGGATGGGAGCAAGTCCTCTTTAAATCGAGAGACGAAGCCGCGTATACCACCCAAAGTAACGCCATGGCAACTATAGTTCCCAATGGTACAATAGGCCAGGTTATTGTTGAAAAAAGACACCGCAGTCTCCTTGTTAGACCACCAATTGCACCATCTCTAGGTTCTTCTGCGCCAGTGTTGTTTGAGGGTTCGTTGTTGGCATCTTCACTCGCGTTTGTTGCGGGAGTGGCGTTCTCTTCTTCCCCTTCCGGTATTTGTCCGCCATATGAGAGCGGCGTGGATGCTGCAAGCAACGCAGTCGTTTCTCCTTCTTGCGAAGTTGTTTGAGCATTGCTGTCTTGTGTCTCTTCTCGCGGTGTATTCATTGCTTCTAGGAAATCTAGGCTCATTTTGTTTTATGTTTTGTCGCGGAAACAACAAAAGTATTTTGAGCCTCTGATGTCGTGATACAAAAATTCTCAGCTGCCGAAAAGCCAAAAATGGGATCGATTGAGTCAAAATCGACTAGTACGACCAATGTGGCGGCCGTTTGAAATGGAAACATGTGTGTCGAAATTTGAATTTTTGACAACATCGAAAACTACCTGCCAAGAATCAATTCCTCCATCAAGGAGAGTTTCGGTCACCATCATCAAGCGAGATAGAAAGGAACAACATGATGCCAACAAAACACGGTCTATCGCATTCACGATGGGCTTTCATTCTGCTTTTACAGATGATAATTGCTAATATCTTGATAAAAAATTGTACTGTTCAAGCTGCCTCGCCAAGACGAACAAAGCCTCAGCGGCGGATTGCATCGCGCTCTCGCCGCGGATTGATTGACAGTTTGGGTGCCTTAGATCATACTGGAAAAGCGGCAGATGGATGGAACAAAATTCTGGACCATTTGAACGGTTCCGATCCTCCCTCAGCATCACCTGCTGATGATCGGGCCGGAACTGGTTCTCCGTCCATCATTGGGATTCCAACCGATCCACCTACCAAGACAACTTCCAATCCGACACAATCGCCTACACAATCGCCTACCAAATCGCCTACTAAGGTTCCGACAAAGAGTCCGTCTTTTGCTCCATCAAAGAGTCCGGTCTTTGCTCCAGTAAAGCCGCCAACTTTTGCACGAACAAATAGACCCAGTCCAGCACCAACCAAAAGTACGCCTTCTCCGACAAATAATCCTACAAATGCCGCAACAAAGAAACCTACTGCCACCCCTACAAAGAAACCTACTTTGGCGCCAACCAAGAAACCGACTGACGGGCCAACTAAGACACCTACTGGTGCACCAACCAAGAACCCGACTGGCGCTCCTACAAAGAAACCTAGTGGGGCTCCTACAAAGAAACCAACTTTGGCGCCGACCAAGACACCGACTGATGGACCAACCAAGAATCCCACTGGTGGACCAACAAGGAGCCCGACAAAAGTACCTACCTCTGTTCCCACGAGTGTACCATCCAAAGAACCCGAAGTTGTATATTCAAGTACTGGTCCAACAGTTTCTCCAACATCGGCACTCAAATCTCCATCTCCTGCTCCTACGGATACTCCTTCCGAAAGTCCATCTACAGCTCCCACAATAATCGAAACAGAGCCCCCTGTTCCTTCTCCAACAGCTGTACCGTCAAAGGCTCAATCTTCGAATCCAACAAAGATTGCTACAGGAATTCCATCAGAAACACCTAGTTCTGTTCCATCACCAGTTCCAACCGTTGATCCCAAGTCTCCAACTGGAAAACCTACTACTAATCCATCTGAATCCCCGTCTGCTCAACCTTCATTTTCACCGACCAAAAGCCCTACAAAAAGCCCAGCTCCTTCGGTACTTCCTTCTGAGGGGCCGTCGGCAACCCCTTCTGCCACACCAAGTCCTACATTGACTATGGTACCAACAGAAGATGATATTCCAGACTCCGCAGTTTTTTGCCCAAATGCAGACGCATCGAAAGTTTCCAGGCTTGAAGTGTGGTGGAAATATTCTGTCCACTTCAATGCTGACGTCGACAGAGCATCTGCATTGATGATGCTCCAGATGAAGTTGGCTGCGGAGTTGGAAGATGAACTATTGCAGTGTAACGACAGAAATGAGTCTCGAAGACTTGAAGAAGGAGAAGGCATAGTGGGTGTTGACTATCTTCCATTGGATGAACAACTAGATGAAGGTAAGCTATGTTTCACGAAATTAGCAGTGCTGCCACAGGCAATCTCTCATATCACGTTTTCAAAGTTTGTCCTGGGGTTTCTGTTAACTGTGTGGTTTACAAAGGAATGATTTCGTTGTACCTAGAATACACTGGAAATGTGGAGGATGCAATTGGAACGACAAGGAAGAAGATTATCGACGTGATGAGCCTAGATGCGGATGGAATTATTGGTGACGACATTTCCCAAATCGAATACCTCTCTCCTGATATGCAAACATCAGCCGCACAAGGAAGTGGAACAGGTGATAGTGTCTCCACCGGTGAGTCCGTTGGTACTCCTACTGCCGCTTTGGTCTCACTTGGAGTAGTTTGCGCAGCCATTGCCTTGACCATGGGATATCGCTACAAGAATCGAGTGGACGATGCTGCTCTTTCAACAATTGGGCCATGTGGCTCGCAATTGACAATGACAAGCTCACAACTGTCAGGTTCACACTTGTCGGGCTCACAACTATCGGGCAATACTGATAGCTCGCCTGGTCTTTCCACAATGATGCCAAGCACGTATCGCCTCGGAGAATCACACTGCATGGATGCCATCCTGGAAGCTGAGGGCAGTGATACGTCTAGCCAGGGAAGGAATGTTTCAATAATCATTTCTGAGAGCGGGTATAGTGAGGAAGACTCCCTTGCAAACCCAAGGGGAGCATCTAATCTGGACAAGTCGGGCGAATATCTTCTGGGCGCGCATAGAGTGGGCAGCGGGTACAGAATGGGTCAACTCATGAATGATTCAGACCAACTCTTGGATGATTCATTCTCCGATATCCAATCGCCGTACGATTCAAGCTTCGAAGAACCGTTCCCAGCCCATCGTCGGACGTACACTGGACAATCTAATGCATTGGGGCCTTCTCCTTTGGCCTTCCTGGACCAAGATGATTCTGAGGAGTTTTAAAAAAATACGGGCATCCTGCTCATGTTCCTTGAGGATCAGAATGAATCAATATTATTCGAGTTGGAATGACATTCCAAAAATGTTATTCACTGTGTGCTGAGTTTGTGAACATAGGCTTTGTGGGGAAATTCAATGAATACGACTATCTCGCATTTGTATGTTGGGCAATGGGGCTACTAAAGTACATTTGTAAGGTACTCTTCAACATAAAATTGCTGTATTCCAGTTTGCGGAAGTCCAGCAGATTGTCGTACTGGATTCATTTTCCACCATGTCATGTTCCTGTCTCAAGCTTCTTGAGAAACCAGCCCTCTCACTTTCTAGATAGCAATTCGGTGTTAGGGTTGATGAAGTCATTCGCTCTGCTTATTTAGTCGAAGGAGTCGAATACGATGTCGAAAAAGAACATTCATTGAACATACCTACGATATTGGAGTTTAGCTCTCGACACTTCAAACAACAAATCAAGACGACACCAACGACAACAACACCGTTGGTTAAAAGTGCTTCAAATTTCAAACCCCAGCTCAGCTTCAAGTCACCATGGAGACCGAATCATCAAACAAGAGTATATTTGTGATATTCTTCAAGTCACAAACAGCTGTAGCGACGCTTGCAATTTCGTTGTTACTGTCATTTTCAACGATGTGCACAGCGAGCATCGTTCCAGAAATTCTGTCGGATCGGTATGCGAGAATAAGTCATTCCTACGATGGACCATTTTGTTCGGATCACCACGAGGAGCACTTACCGAAGGAGTGCCAAGCAGGTTCAGATGATGCACAAGCAGCTTCCGCGTTTGGAACTCTTTTCTTGAATATCTTGACACTTGTGTTCAATAGTGTGGTGGGAAGTTACAGTGATGTTCACGGAAGAAAAGCACCAATTGTCGCTGGAACCCTTCTCTCAATACTTTCCCCACTGGCTCTTGTCCTGATGCAAATCGTACCAACAATGCACCCCATCTGGTTCTATCTGTCACTCAGTGTCACTGGAATTGTGAACTTCATTAGCATAATGTTTGCCGCGATATCGGATGTGGTACCAGAAGACAGCCGATCTTCTTGCTTTGCAATCATGATGTCAGGATGGTATGGTGGATTTGTGCTAGCGCCTTCCATAACTCTGCTGATGAGTCACATGGCTGTTTCCATTCTTTCCTTCATCCTTGCGTTGCTCGGTTTACTTGTAGCTGCTATCTACTTTCCAGAAACGATAAGTTCGACAAATATTGAAGCGCAAGCTGAGACAGCGGTTTCCAATGAAGAAGATGATCGTGGATGGTCGTTGCTGAAGACGATGATTGAGCCTATCAAAAAGCTTTCCATTTTGAACAGGAATATGACCTTGCGTATGTTGACTATTGGATCTTTCTTCAGTTCCGCAGTATTTTCAACAGACGCCAACCTCTTCTTATTCTACGTTGAATCACATTTCGACGTGAATGAAGCTGATCTCGCACAGATGTTCTTTGTGATGGGAATACTAGGCGTGGTAATGCAAGCTTTCCTCCTGCATCCACTCACAGTTTGTATGGGTGAGAAAGTGTTACTGACATTAACATTTCTATCTGGAACACTACACAACCTGCTTTATGGAGTGTCCAGAAACAAGGAAGGCATCTATGTTGCGGTCTGTCTGTCGCAGTTCACAAAACTGAACTTTCCTCTACTATCTTCAGTGGGGTCGAAAGGAGCTTCCAAAAATGAACAAGGGCGGCTCCAAGGAAGTCTATTTTCAATCAATGCCTTTTCTGCAGCTGTTGGACCGCTGTTGATGCAAGCCATCTACAACTGTACCAAGGATACGTTTGGTCCAGGTACCATGTTTGTGTTCGCTGCGGGTCTTTACTTCCTTGGGACCATCTCGATAGCATTTATGCCAGTAAAGGACCCTACGAACGAAGAAACCGAGGTTGAAGATACGACCATCTGTGACGATTTAGCACAGCCTCTGATCGATCCGGCAAATCACGAGGGAGAAAATTCAATAGCGTCTAATGCGTAGAGTAGTTAGTCTCCAATTATTGTATTCACAATCTCCCTCAAGTCTTGCACTGACGTCTTCTCCCGAGATTTGACAATCTCTGCAAACTGTGCCATTTCATCCATTGACAAAAAAATAAAACGATTGCCATGGTGAATGCCAGCTATCCGTGATTCATTTATCAGCTCTTGGATTCTTTGGATTACAGTTTCCTCGTCCACCTGAAATCGTTTTGCCAAGCTGTCGATGTCAACATATCTATCGGATCGCAACTCTTGGATCCATTCCTTGACTGTAAGCGATTCTTTACCATCCAGAGTACCAAGAAATGTTTTCCATTCTTTATAGGAGGTCATTTCATCCGCTATTCGCTGCTCCTGTCTTGCTTTGCGTTCTGCTTCTGCTTGTTGCATCATTTTCTTCTGACGTTTTTGCTTTTCCCTCTGCGCGATCTTTTGAGATTCTTCTTGTTGCTGTCTGCGATCATCCTCGAGAATCTTCCTCTCTTCCTTTTCTGCTGCCTTAGCAGCCTTTTGTCTGTCCTTTCGAGAGAGCTGAGGCGCTGTGCTTGGTTCGATTGGATTTTCATCTTCTATCCTATTGTTTTCGTCATCAGTAGGTGTTCCTGTCGGGGCTATTCTTCTTTGTTGTTTCATAATCGCTCGAGCTCGAGCACGTCTCTGAGCTCGGTTGAGCGTCGAAACATCAGCATTTACAAGCTGATCTTCATAAGTCAACTCTTCATCCTCTATTTCTTCAGCCGATTTTAGTTTGGTAAGGACAATTGAATGAACGGTAACGGCAAGAATCACGGAACCTATTATTGATACTATCAAGATTATAGAATCCGAAAACCCGACGTCGAATTGAGGAGCTGGACCAAGTGGTTCCTCATTGGCCGCAGTCATCACAATCATCTTTTGTTGGATGGGAAACAGGAATGATGAGGACGTGAGATGTGGATCGTCGATTATGATCGATTTTGGGTTCTGATTAATGTCGACTCAGTCGATTCCAAATTAATCACAAAAGTGAAGTGGTAGCAAGGAATTTATCCTCGACTGTGGTGTAGGACCTAAAGGGTTTTAAGGTATTACAATCCTTTTCGATAAAATCTATTGTAGTGCTCCCCAAATCTAATACGATAGACTTGAGATTGTGTTTTCGCAGAAGCGCAGCACAATTCTTCGATTTCTGGTGCCAGTTTTGGACTCAGAAAAAGAATCCATGCAAACCTGAGATTCAATGTCGGACAAGGAGGAAGGCAAGTCGTTAGTTGATGCATATGTGTGAAATCAGAGCGAAAACAAGTGATCATTCATTTGCTTACCCAAGATAAAGGTTTCGTATGCAATGGCCATTACGTGCCAACGGATGTCGACACTGGCAGAGGTTGCAGCCGAAGTGAAGAGTCGCACCAGAAGGAGATTCGTGGCTCCACCAATTGCTTGACTCTTCCAAATCATTTGAGCCTTTACCAGCCCCCCTCCATCACTACCGTATCTAATCAAAAAAGCCGAAACGAACTTGTACATACAAAGAAGCAGCATGTTTGCCGCCAGGAGCTGAGATGCAAACTTGTCACCAACATGCAACGTTGCTGCCATTCCGTACTCTTCCTCTTCGGGTGACCCTTCTGGCGGTGAGTGAATCAAGGCGCCCACCCATTCCAGAAAGACGTCATCGCCAGGAACATAACTCATGATCAGCCCAGGATAAAACAAGTCGCGTGCAGCAAAAAGCATCTGGGCTCCAGATACCAAAAATACTGTTCGTGCAACAATACGAGAGACAACTGATGTTGGTGTTTTCCCCTGTTTGAGAGCAATAGCGGGTCCTCTTTTCGCCTGTCCAAATGTCATTATGTAAAACAGCATTACCGTAGCTTCAATCATAAGAATACCAATGAATATTGTTGGTAAGAATGCAGCGTCTGCTGTCATCAAATCAAAAATACAGGAACCATAAAAAGCAGCCAACAAAAGGTTGGTCACAGAGGCAGTCCAGAGCAGCGGAATAAAGTGACCCATATTCCATCTCGCATTCCTAGGATGGATCAATAGGGGCATCATCTTTTGAATCTGCAACGTCATTCCAGCAGCACCAGCCATCTTTCGAACATAGAAACTGCCCATATTGTTGGCATCTGTGGTGATTGGTTTGATGGCACTTAGGCCACCCTGTGTCGATGACCATCCTTTAGAATCGTCAAAAAACTCTAATGATTTTGTGAAACTCTGTGAAGTGATGGAAGAAAGAAGAGTGAGTGTCGTTTCGCCACATTCACATTAGCCTCCATCAAGTGCTTTTCATCAGTCTAAGAGACTCACCAGCAGCGCTTGATCAGATGCTCCTCCAATGACTCTTCCAGTTGCAAATACATCTCGAAAGAAGAAAACAAAGAGGAACCCCGAACATGCAATCACAGTGAATACGAGACCGATCGGCGGAAGATGCTCTGCCGCAATATCGTTGGAAACTGGCGCATTGCTTTGTTGTTTGGTAGATGATGATTTGACTTGATCGCCAGTCTTTGCATTGGCAGCTTTCGCAGAACCCGCCTTTTTCGATTGTTTCGAAGACTTTCCCATTTGGTCTTCAAATCTACTTTGTGTTGGATTTGTAGACAACAATAACAATGATGAAACAGAAGGCTGAACGTGTCTGTGGTCCACGGACGAAGTGTGGAAGTGATCGATTTCTGAAAATTCAAAAACTTTGCGGGAATGAATCTTCAGTCATGAGTCTCCCGAGATTTGAAAATTGAATGAATGAATAACAAACAACCACCAACTTAACTGCAACCTGTACAATAGTTTCAGTTGAATCAACTCTTCTTCTTTTGATTGGCATCATACACCGAGTCTAATTCTACCTATACAGGTATTATACTGAGCCTTCGTATCCAAATTGACACAAAATGCGACTGCAAAGAACAAAAAGCAGACCAGAAAGATGCGAACAATATTGGACGTTGAAAGCATTGTTCCCAATGTCTGCATTGCTGCTGATGTTTGGAGCGTCGTTCACAGCTTTTGATGGAAGGAGGCTTCTATCGGTCTCTATGTCAGATGTGGAACAGATTAGCGCTGATATACCCAGTCAAACACCTTCCGTGGGAAATGTATGCCCACAAGCTCTTCATCTCTTGAATGACGATTCTTCCATGCTGAAGTCCATACACGAAAGCCTCGAGTCATTTCATCATGGAGGTGGCAATCTCAAGCTCCTAGAAGAGTATTTGAATTCGCACATGGATAAGTCAATCGAGCGTTTTAATATGAAATATTACCCAGACGGGAAATCTGAGCCACTCGAGGCGGAAGGAGTCACCAAGCACATTATTGAGACTCAAAAGAAATTGGATACTCACAAACGTGGTGGATATGATCAACGAAAACTGCCAGGACATTTCAAGACAGTAGATGGAAAAGTCTTACAGGACTTTCGGGTGGATTCCGTTGAACCATTCACAGCGCAACGATGGCATATTGGCTTGGGACCTATTGCCGAAGATGCCTGTCGGAGTATGGATCGGATACGTTCTGGTAAGGGACGAAACTACGATGATAAATTCATGTGTTCCTATACAGACTTGAACACGAAAGACAAGAACAAATCCGCAATGCAACAACAGAAGCCAACTTCGGAATGCAACATGATATCCATCGGAAGCAACGGGCAGTGGGGATTTGAAGAAACGGTAGTGGCAAATACCAACTGCATTACACATACCTTTGATTGTACAGTTCAAAATCCAAAAAAACCAAACGTGGATCCAATCAACTTTTACCCCTACTGTGTTGCCAATGAAAACAAAGAGATCGAAGGCCGTCAGTTCCGAACCTACAAAGGTCTTGTAGAGGCTGCCAAATTGACCGGTCCTCCAGACCTCTTCAAAATGGACGTGGAGGGATATGAGTTTGATGTCATGACACAAATGCTGGAAGAAGCACACAAGTCAGGAACCATGGACCTCCTGCCGACACAAATATCCGTAGAATTGCATTATGCTACGCGAATGTACGACATCCCATGGAAAATGAGAACGGTTACAGCAGCTGAGATTGCTCTCTTTATGGGAATGATGTATCATCGTGGAGGCTATGTTCCGGTTCACTATGACGAAATAGGGCCGGGGTGCTATTCCTGCGCCGAGCTATTATTTGTAAGGATGTTTTGTGATAAATAGAGTAACTTAGAGATGAAATAGTTGCTGTACTGTACGATTATTCTACTTTCGTAGCTTGCTGCTGTATCGTCCTTCTTGCTTGTAGACTTTGTCGTGTTCTAGTATGGAAGGTTACTATTTCGGAAGGTTACTATTTCGTACATGTCGGATTGAGGTACTTTGTAGAACAGGGGAATCGGAACACAATTTTGCATTCACTTTTTTGAGGTCATTGTGGCGGTAAATTTGGGATGACCGTACCAAAGTTTCATTTGACGCCACTTTTCTTCTTTTGATTGAAAGCATAGTAGTAATATATCGAGCTTGAATCTAAAGTTGACACAAAATGCAACTGCATAGAACAAAAGGCAGACCACATGGATGCGAACGATATTTGACGTTCAAAGCATTGTTCCCAGCGTCTGTATTGCTGCTGATGTTTGCAGTGTCATTCACCGCGTTTGATGGAGGGATATCTGTGTCAGATGCGGGACAGATTAGCCCTGATGCATCCAATCCGAAAGCTTCCGTTGAAAATATAACCGCTTATACACCCATTCCGAAACCTTCGGTGGAAAATATTTGCCCACAAGCTCTTCATCTCTTGAAGGACGATTCTTCCAAGCTGGCGTCCATACACGAAGAGCTCAAATCATTTCATGATGGAGGTGGCAATGTCAAGGTCATTGAAGAGTATCTAAATTCGTACATGGATAAAACAATCGACCGGTTGGACATGAAGTATTATCCAAAAGGTCAATCTGAGCCACTGGAGGCGGCAGGAGTAACCAAGCACATTATTGAGACTCAAAAGGAAGTAGATACTGCCAAACGTGGTGGGTATGATCAATTCAGACTGCCGGGCTACTTCAAGACAGTCAAAGGAAAACGATTGAAGGACTTTAAAATTGATGTCATGGAACCATTTACACCGCAACGATGGCGCATTGGCTTGGGACCAATAGCCAAAACTGCTTGTAAGAGTGTCGATCGGATACGGTCCGGCGAAGGAAAAAACTACGACGATAAATTCATGTGTTCCTACACAGACTTGACAAAGAACCAGAACAAACCCACAATGCAACAAGAGGAACCAAGTTCAGAATGCAGCATGATATCCATAGGAAGCAATGGACAGTGGGGATTTGAAGAAAAAGTAGTAGCAAGTACCAACTGTATTACACATACCTTTGATTGTACAGTGCAGGATCCTAAGAAACCAAATGTGGATGCAATCAATTTTTACCCCTACTGTGTTGCCAATGAAAACAAGGAGAGTGAAGGCCGCCAGTTCCGAACCTACAAAGGTATGGTAGAGGCTGCCAAATTGACCCGTCCCCCCGACCTCTTCAAAATGGACGTGGAAGGATTCGAATTTGATGTCATGACACAAATGTTGGAAGAAGCACACAAGTCGGGAACCATGGACCTGCTACCGACGCAGATATCCGTAGAATTGCATTATGCCACGCGGATGTACGACATTCCCTGGAAAATGAGAACGATTACAGCAGCTGAGATTGCTCTCTTCATGGGAATGATGTACCGTCGTGGAGGCTATGTTCCGGTGCACTATGAAAAAGTAGGACCGGCCTGCGTTTTCTGCGCCGAGCTATTGTTTGTGAGAATGTTTTGTGACAAATAGAGTAACTTAGGGATGAAAAAAGCTACTGTACGATTCTATTGCCACTTGCACTGTGCCCCACAAAAACTGCACCACTCTCAAAGCTACTGTAGCTATAGCATATGGTTGCGCTTTTGCTGAATAAAGTCCTTTGTCGATGAGGGCATGTTCACCAGACCGGCAAAGACATAAATGAATCTCGCCATCATTTGAAGCTCTCGGAGGCGTTCTTCTACAGTGGCGTTGATTCCTCGTGACTCGGACTTGATTTTACGATGCATCCCAAACAAGCATTCCATGGTGCCACAAATCAAGGGCGGCATGGCTGCCTTGAGACTGGGGTCAAGATTCTTGTAGCGGCTCTCTTTTTCATTCATCTGATCTTGTGTGAGAGGCAATAGATTGAGGGAAGAGGCAATCTGAAAGGCTTCTTGAAATCTTCCACCGCGAATGTTGTCAAAGAAATTGCGAATCGCTGTGAGTTGCTGATTGACTTGTATCAATCCCAAATTGCCCTCGCGTTCCAGAGATTCCACCACCAGAGTTCGGCTGGTGAGGTAGGTCGAGTGGAACATTTGCGACTGTTGCGCCCAAAACAATTTTTCCGGATTGCCATCTTCGGTGGGAGATATCAGCTCATTGAGCAATACGAGAAGGGAACCATATCGGCCCGAAAGCATGAATAGTTTTGCTGCCAATTCTGCCTTGGTTCGATCGTGATGTTGTCTCTTGAACATGTTGGCCGATTCTGCCAGAATCAACGAGGCTTCGTCTCGGCTCATGTACTTATCGAGCAGAGCATTCTTTCGAGCACCTTCTTGTGTCAAGATGCCTCCAAAGTGATCCACCAAGTGAGTTTGGCGGACAATCAACGAGGCAATTTCGTGTCGGCCCTTTTCCTTCTTTGGAATCTTCAACAGGTATTCCAAGGAAGCCGCTGGGCCCGAATTGGAATCGACTTCCAAGAGCGACGCGTACTTGGTCAATAGAGCTGTCAACAAACTAGGTGAAGATCCCTCTTGTTCGCCCAGATCAGCGATACTGAGACCCTTGCTAGCTAGCACAAGGCCCAGATGAGTAGCTTGCAACAATCCAGTTGAACCACCTGCCTCGGCCAAAAAGACCAAGGCAGTCTTGAACTGTTGAGAGGCCAGCAACGGGAGCGCATATCCCCAGCCACCATTGCTGTCTGCTTGAAAGTATTCTGGACCATATTTCTTGATAGATTTACCAATCAGCTTGATTTGAGATGTGGGATCTTCTTGCTGGAGGGCCAACCACAAGTGACCAAATAGGTAGTCTTCAATGGTACTGTAGGATCCATCTGGCAAATTTTGTCCCGACAGCAAGGCCAGGACACCAATTTTGAAAATGTTTTTGGACTCCAAATTTTGCGCCTTGTCGTGCAAATCCTCAATCAAGGCACGATCATTGGGAGAGACTGTGGGAGTTCCCATTTCCCAAATACAAGTGGCTTGCGCTTGCCGTTGAGCAATTTGGTAGACGACATTTTGAATGACATCTTGTTCGGGAAAATGATCGTGATTGGCTCTGGCAACATCTAAAACAGTCTTGGCGGCACCAAAGTCTCCACAACGCAAACCTGGATACAATAATAATAATAAAGAAAAGAATAGACGAGATGAGTTGCTGTTGTATTATTCCAAAGAAAACAAAAAAGAGACGGACTTGACCTCGCTCGCTCTTTGTGTTTTACTTACAATAGTAGAGAATGTGCCAGGTAGAAGCATCCGCACCATATTCCAGTTTGACATAGGTTGCCATGGTCCCACCCATGCCCGTACCATAATTGCGATCCGTCACTGGATTCTGTCCGGCCAAATTGGCCGATGCCACTCTGTTTCTAATGACATCTTGGTACTGCTTGCAAAAATGTAGTAACGACCCCAAAGCCCCATGAAAGGGGGAGGAAAGATTGGGGATCATGTTGCCAAACAGTTGCCAAGCAATGGCGTATCCAGTGGAATCGGAACTCGTCATATTTTGGTATCCTGCAATGACATCTTGCAGGTTTGTAGTGGCGGTAATAGACCGCAAGAGTTGAAGGTGCTTTTGGACGGCCACTGCATCGAGTGGTTGTTTGAGGCCTTCGGTAATGAAATTGTGAGAAGGACCCGATACGGATTGAAAGGTCGCTTCCAATTTGCGGTCCGCCTGCCGCATGCCCAGACTACTGGAAGCATCCACCAAATTGCGGGACCCGACGAGCTCCTTGAGCCACCACTCCCGTTCGCGTTTCCAGTCGTCTTCCAATTGCTGTTCCAACTGTTTCTCCAATTGTCGATTAGTGTTTTCTCGTTCTCGTTGCAAGATGCGTTCAATGGCCGAGTCACGTTGTTGACGTCGATTGGCATCCAAGCTTTGAAAGGCATCTTGGGTCAGTGGAGCAGGTGTTGTACTTTCCAGGCTGGCTACGAGACTCCCAAAGTCGGTGCGATCGCCCAATAATAGTTGTGCCGAAGTGTTCAGTTGTTGAGGATTATTGTTTCCTAGAAAGGACTTGTTGGCAGCGGCGAGTTCGTGAAGGGAACGGGACCAGGAGGGTTGCATCGAGTCGCCGCCACCCAAGGTCGGCAGAGCCCCTGAAGCCAGTTGTTCCAAGCTTTGATGTGTTGTCATTGTTGCTGTTTCTTGTTGTGGCAATTTGTAGCGTTTCTTGTAGGGTACAATGCGTAGAATGTGGTTTTGCTCACTATTGGAATATACTGTTTGATATCTCGTCTTTCAACATCCAATCCAAACCTAAATGTCACTCACTCTCACAAATGAAAATCAAAGCCTCTTGCTTTGAAAAAACTGGAGCGCGCGAATGCGTGCGAGGACGAGTGACGGCAAGACACTCATAGAAAAAACACATCATCAAAACACAAACATCGAAACAGGGACAGTCCATTCTTCTTTCAGAACGTCTGAACCTTCCTACTTGTGTATGCTACCATCATCATCATCATCATCATCATCATCATCATCATCATCATCATCATCATCATCATGACAACACCAGCAGCAGTTCAAATTCGACAAAAATACCGATCGCTTAACAAACTAGTGAAGAAACTCCCCGAAAATGACATGGAAAAAAGCTTGCACGAGCTTCGAACCTCCTTTCGGAAAGCTCTTGGTGAAACCGAAAGTGTGGAGACACGATTACAAGACGCCGACAATCGAATTTCCTTTTTGCAAATGATCACTCCGAAGGATAAACCTGCCAAGGGTGGAACATGGGTCTACAAGGATGGAAAACGAATTGAAGGAGGATCTGGGACGCGGTTTGACGCCAATGGCAACGTTCACTCGAATTGGGATGGCAAGAATTTGGATCCTTGTTCCGTCAAGAGACATAATCAACAATTAAATCGGGTTGGATTCCTTAATAATCAGCATGCGAAGGGTTATTTCTAATCTAGATCGGAATGAAATTAACGTTTTAGGCAGTACTGAACTGAATATAATAGTTGCAATGCTTCTTTTGGGCAAATTGAATGAAAATGATAGACAGCAGGCAGCCGTGAGAGGAACATTGATCGAAAGATTAGAGTTTTGATTATATTATTAACGTTATAATATCGACCCCCAAGCTCTCTTCTTGTGTGAAATACTATCCCAGTTTATTGAATGTGGGAGGAACTGCTGCATGCTTGTTGAAGTCAGCTTTCACCCATAGTTTGGACCTTGTAGTGTTGTTTCCTGTTTGCCAGCATCCACTTTTTGCATGCTGTCTTGGATGAAACGTGAAATGGACTTGGTTGTAAGCGCCGGTTGGTTGCAAGACACAGATGCCAAAACGGTTCATATTGTGAGCAGCTGCGGTTTCAACGGTCAAAAACTCGGGCGGAACGTCCATAGGGGCTACGTGGCAAACGAACTGGTTGGTGGACCAACGATGTTGGAGAGCTGTCGTCAGCACTGAGCAAGGAGACCACATCGACCCATTCTTGGAATCTCAAATGCGAGGAGTATTCCAATGACAAACGATCACGGCCACGGTGAGTGTAATACTCAATCCAGAACCACAGGACTTCGCGAAAGTTGCGAAGCACATCATTCTTGTCTCCAATTTCACCCTTGGTACCATAGTAGGTCAGCGAGGCACGGCGGCTCACAGAAGCTCGACGTGCGTAGGGTGCCGGCGCAATTTTTTCGTCCATATCCATGTACTTTAGAGCTTGTGCAAAGGCTCGGTCAATGACATTGTCATCGCTTGAAGCATTGCGTGCTCTGCGTTTGGTTTCTCGTTCTTCAATGTTCAATCGACCAAGATCTTGAAGCAAGTTACCCAGCTCGTTTCGCCGGGACGCAAAGATCGCAATCACTACAGCAGTATTCAAGCAGCAAATATTTTCATGGTTGATATTTCTCAAGTCAACAACACCCAACAAGTCTCGTAGTAGCCGTGTTTGATTCGCTGCCAAGAACCATGACAAGCGCTCGACAGTGTTTGGCTCATGGGTTGCGGTAGCCAAGGTCTCTCCAAAAGGAGTAAAGACCCAACCAAAATGTCCAACTCCGTCGTGAAGGCCAGTTAGCGAGGGATCAATTGTCCCTGGAGGTCGCATCCTGTAGGCCGTGATCATGGCACTGGAAGGAAACCAATCTGAAGCACGAGCCTTGTCTTGCTTTCGTTCGGTAGGAGTTTGCAGATTTTCAGCCTTGCCGTTGATTTCTTCAGTTTTGGATGGCTCCTTCACTTCTGTATCCCACCAAGAGTGAGTGACGTAAGCACGCGAATCAACTCCGCTTTGACTCTTCCAAGTTCCTTGTCGCATGGCGAAACATTCTGGATCCAAATGCAACGGCATTAATCTCCTTGATGCAGACATTCGTTCCATTGTCAATAACAGTGACCGTAGGAACACATTGGAATCCACGAGATTTGCAGCTGCAACACTCATCAACTTGCGAAAGCTTTCTTCATCTAGATCCTTGACCAGCAAATGAATAACTTCGGAATTTCCTTTGCACAGCTCACCAAGCAGATCGAACGAAGTCTGAAGACTTCCAGCACAATGAAGAAAATCACTTGTAATGTCTTTCACCAAGTGCTTTAAAAGACCAGATTGGGCAACAAATACCTGCTCGGCTGGTGAGGAACCGCGTAGATAGGATTCAATGCAACTGGCGAGCCAAAATCGGTACGGTGATTCATCAACTTCGCCGATTAATGCCGTCGTAATTTTGGATAACAAGCCAGGCTGAAGTTGTGAAACATCGTTTGGATTTCCCCTTTCAAAGACATGATTGCGCTCGCCTTGACTCAAAAGGAGTCGACGGCCAGCATAGTTGTCACAATCTCTATCGCAGAAGTTGTGAAGTAAGCGGAGATATTGCACGCAGAGAGCGTTCTCTGGGGTACATTCACCCCCTTGACCACTCAATGCATTTGCATATGGGTCCTCCTCATCTGCAGAATCACCCGTGTCACCTTCGGAATTGGACTGTTGAGACGCGGTAGCGGCAGCCCAAGGGAGGCGATGAAACATTTCGTCGAGGACTGAAATGATGCCATGCTTCTTCAGCAGTTCTTGAGTATCAATCTTTCGTCGTCCTCCCAATAGTGTACACAAGACAAACAAAACTTCCACTTGAAAAGGTCCAAGTAGGAAGGCGTTTAGTTGCAACAAATTGGCAGCGTCCTGTGGTGTTTGAATTCGGGATCGACTACTTGCTGGATGCCTCTGTCCATTTTCGTCCACTGGCGACCTTCCGTTCTCGTCAAATCCAATATTTCCTGGTGATAATGACATAATTCGACGTCCAATCATCTGCTCTGACATAAGACCAGGATCGGAAGGGTTCAAAACATTCTCCCCAAGACCACCATCACTGCCATCTCGGGGCATGCCTGGAATAAGCCGTGAAATTTGAGCCTGTGCCAGAACCATCAATATTCTTGCCAGCTGATTTGTAGCAGCTTGAGGGCCCATGAGGCCGCCCACCAACTCTTCCATCATCTCTGCAACGTTTCCGAGCTCGTTAACGTGCCGATTTCGACCACCATTGTCATCCTCATTCTCGTCCTCATAATCCTCGTCTAGCATTTTTCGAGCCAGCTTTTCAACTCTCTCCACTTCTTTCCATTGATCAAGCTCGCTCAGACCCAGCATTATCAGAGTGTCAGCAATCACTGGATACCGTGCCATGACAACATAAGGAGTCGTTCTGCGGATACTGGGTGCATAATTCATGATACTCAAAAGCCTGAGCAATCTCGGTGCCAACGTCTCATCGCCAATCAGTATCGATTGATTCAGATCAATGGTGGAATCTCTGCCTGCCCGAGCTGCTCTATTCCGTCGCAATTGCAACAGCTCGATAGATTTTAGCACAGCAGGACTTTCCAATAATTGCCGATCTTCTGGTTCAAATATCAGCAGAGCTAGAATGCGGCTAAAATGAGCCAGCTGTCGGCAACTGAATCCTCTCCAAAGTTTGTACAGATCCGGGACATTGCCAAGGAAGAATGTCGACGGCGGAGAAACTCTGACAGTAGGATAATGGCCGGGAAGTTGCATGTCTACATCGTCGTCGGCTGGTGCTGGTGGTGGAGAGGCATTTAGCTGAAGACTCACAATCTCTTCAATCAGTGTGGCGGCGCCATCAAAACAAGAATCATGAGACAAGAGGGTAAATAAAAATGGTAGGAACTCCCCATTGTCAAAAATATCCCCGTCTTCCACCAAGGAAGGTATGGCATAGACCAGTTCCCTTAGAGACGCCATGACTTCGTTCCAGCACAGTGTCAATCGTGAAACCACCAACTCTTCAGGAACATCTCGAGCATCGTAGCTTCTTGCCATTTCGGCGCCCACAAAACTCGCTTCCCGAAAGACTCGAATTATGACTTGAATTCCACCAGCTTGCACAAAGGCATCCCGTTCCAAACCCAATCGCCCACCGCCCGCATAGAATCGAGATGCAGTCGGTGGCAAGTTGGGATCGTCAATCGGTGTTTCTCGTTCCCCACCCATTTGTTCTTGCGCCAATGCTGCGGGATCTCCAATCAATCGTGGTGCAATCCGCGACACCACAGTCTTGGTTTCCGCCCAATCCCCACTGTCAATCACTTCATTCAAAAATGCAACTTCGGAGCACATGCCACCAGCTGGTTTATCCAAATTATTAAAGAGTGCATGTCCTCCCAGTTTCCGCAGTCGCTTGACGGGTGGCATTCGATTCCTTGTAATGAATTTTCCAGTAGTTTGCCTTGCAATCAAAGATAATGCGACATTCGGGCCTCCCCTGTTTCCGGATGCTTCCACTCCGTTACTGGGAGTCGCACTCATGCGCCGACGATAGGCCGGACCATGGGAGGAGGACCCTCGCCGATTCATGGGAGCCGACGACCCAGTCCCTCGTCGATTCATGGGTCTGGAAGACATTCCACCAGTGGCCGAGTGCTCGCTTCTGGTCAATCCACCACCGCCACCACCACCACCATTCCGAGAATGGCCACTGCCGTCTTGCAGCGGAGCAGCCGAAGACCCAGTCCCACTTCGTTGCGCAGTCCTGGACATTCCCGTGCGCGAATGTCCACTTTCTTCCCTTCTCGTTCCTGAGCGCGAATGTCCGCTACCTTCCCGTCTCGCTCCCGAGCTCGAGTGTCCACTTCCACCATCTAACATTGAAGTAGTAGTAGACGACCCAGTCCCTCGCCGTTGCATGGTATTACTTCTAGTAACGCCAGTGTGCGAGTGACTGCTGCGTTCCGTCTCGGACGCCGAGGCCCCAGTAGCCCCACGGCGCATGGCACGGGCAATGGTGCCACTTCTGGAATGCCCACTGCCTTCGTTGCGATTCCGCCGCGAGTAATAATTGGCCAGAGTCCCTCCGTGCATATTTCCACTTCCGACCAAAGACCCCCGACGACTGCCGGGAAAACTTCCGAGGCTCCCCCTTCGATTGCTGTTACTAGCAGTATTGTCATTGCCGCCACCAGCACCAGCACTGCTGCCCAGCGTGCTGACCGTACTCCGCCGCCGGACCGGTCCCCAAAAGGAAAGATCTTCATTTTGTTGATAATCCTCATCTTGTGGGAGACACAGAATGGGGACTGGCGACGAGTATCCCAAGATCAAAGTTTCAATGCTTCGTCCCATCCATTCGCTGTTCCTACTTCCGTGCGGATAAAAGTCCAAGACCGGCATGGAAGTCGGTACCGAGTAATCCATGGTGGCAGAATCATCATCACGATACCCATCGGGGTATTGATTGGTCCACACTTGCGTCTGTTCATTCGGTTTGGAGGAGGAAATGACAAATTCTTCGCTGGCCTCTGGGATGCCCGGAACGGAAAATTCTTCACTCGGAAAGACATTCATATCTTCCTGATGGAGTACCTGTCCCGATTGAATGACTGATAGCTCCGTATATTTGCCAGTCCTCGAATTGCTATTGTTGGTCAAAGGTTCGTGAATGCTGTGGACGCTGCTGTGTTCCGAATTGTCTCCTGGATCCGACCGTTGACTGTTATCCGCTCCATTTTCTTCCAGTAAGGACGGCAATTCTTCACTGGTGGGCCACCGTTGCGGCAAGTTTGTAGCATTTCCATTGGCAGCATTATTGTTAGCAGCAGCAGCAGCAGCAGCAGCAGCTTGCTCGTAATCTCCACCAAACGAGTTGGAGGATGGGGAACTGGGTGGATCCGAGCTCCGCCTTCGAAACCTTCGACTGGACACCCGACGCGGAGCCGAATGAGAAGATCCCATTCCTTGTTTCTTGGCCAGTCTCAAGAGCCAATAGGCAGGAGCCAATAGGAAATTGAAACAGCTGCGTTGTTGTTGTTGTTGTTGTTGTCGTTGTTGCGTGGTGTTGGTGTTTGTTGAATTGGTTGTCTTTATGGTTGCTGTGTTTTGTGTTCCTTGGATCAATCCAATCTTCTCAATAAGGTAAGGTAGCTCTCTGCAGTATTTCAATTCTTCTATTGTACTATACTATACTGTACTATAGTATATATGTATAATATGTCTTATAATACCCAAGAGAGTCCGTTGCAGAGCCAGATTGTGTGTATTATTGCTGCCTCCTCACTCTTTTACTGTTTCGTGCAACGAGGAAGCTGGTCGAGAAGGAGCGAAGTGCCCTTCGAGAAAAGGCCATAAATGGCTCGACGAACAATTTGTCCGATGATAAGTGATCAAACTGTAATCGAACCGTTCGACTGCTCAGAAACAATGCGTGGTGACGTTTGTGGGCACCCCTTTTTTCGTCGTGTGAAAAAGATTTTGTGAACAAATGCTGTATGCAAGAGCTCAAAAATAGGAGGTCGTTGTGGATGCGCATTCATACATATTATGATGAAAAGGCCAAATGACATTGCTACGAATGAACGATAGAGAGAGTATAATAGACACATAGTTGAAGAGATTGGCTAGAGCTCATTGCATTGCATTACAGTTGCACGATTGATTGATTGATTGATTGATTGATTGATTGATTGATTGGTTGACCGACTCATCATGAGGTCGCCCTATCACAACACCGATTACAACAATGACAAACGTCCTCGGCGTCGCGCCTTTTTGCTGCAGCAACAATTGCTTGCGAATTACACCAATGGTCAAAATCTAGTCCGACCCGCATTGATAATATTCATGAGCACCATGATCTTGGCCGCCCTCCAATCCATGGATGTTTTGGTGCTCTTTCCAGTCGCCGCCACCGAAATGGCCCAACGGTCACTCCGAACGCCCTCCAAAACGGTGGCCCTCAATCTCACAGGAGTTCCACTGTGGAAATCCTTCTTGACGGACGAAGAACTGGAAGGTGTTGTGGCGGATAATAAGGAAGATGTTTTCGCGGCGGCGTCGTCGCCTAACAAGAATACCAACTCGGTCACCATTGTCTTGACGGGGGACGTCCATGGACACATTCGACACGCGTGTTTGGGACCCATTTGTTATCCAGGTGCTCCTCACATTCGATCCGTCATGGAACGGATACGACAAAATAATAAGGCTACTTCTACTAACGTATTACTGCTAGATGCGGGGGACTCGGGATTTGAAGAACCCAAATTGGCGGCCAAGACGATGCATTTTTTGAAGTACACGGCCATGGCCTTGGGGAACCACGAATTGGATTTGGGTGCGGATTCCGTCCAAACTTTTTTTCACGATTTGGTTGATATTCCAGTCTTGGCGGCCAACATTGATGGGCTCCCCAATATACAGCCCTATCTCAAAGTGGACGTGGGAAACAATGATACGGTATGTATCATTGGATTGACGGCAGAAGAAGTGAATCCGCTGGCGGGGCCAGACGTTCACATTCGCGATGTCAATAGTACACTGGATGCCATATTATCATCGTTGCGAAATGGTAACCAGCCAAAAGACACGACTGCGGACGACGGGGAAACCAACAAGAATCGTACGGCTGCTGCTGCTGCTGCTGATGAGGGTATCACCACGCCTGCTCCCACCAACAAACCCAAACCAACTTGCACCAAGACCATTCTCCTATCCCATGCGGGGATTGAAATTGATCAAGAGCTGGCCCACAATCTTGGTGACAAGGTCGATTTGATTCTGGGCGGCCATTCGCACGTCGTCACGGGAAATCAGATGCGGGCGCCCGAAACGATGGAATTTGGACTCTTGGCAGATCCGTCGACCGACCCCAAGATTTTGCATTCGGGTGCCAATGGGCGCTTTGTGGGACTGGCACGATTGGAGTGGGACAGCGATACCAAGGAGACGACCAAACTACACTCGGAAGTATTGCCGTTGGATGCCGAACATGGCATTGAACCGGATAAGGAAATGATGGATTGGTTGGAAGGTCAACACCATCATTTGCAAGACGATACCTCGGAAAATACACCAGATATTCAATTCCTAATACAAGGCGAGGAAAAAGTATGTGCCCGTCGGTGCCGCTTGGGGGATTGTACCATGGGGCAGTTGGTGACAGATGCCATGCGATCATGTCTGGAACATGGGCCTTGTTTATTGCCAGAAGAATCGAGCGGATATCCTGTATTGGCCTTTTTAGAATCTGGAACACTGAGAAATTGTTTAGTGTCTGCGGACACGGACTTTAAACGGGTATTGCCATGGCCCAACAAGCTGGTGGTACTTCAACTAAAGGGCAATGTGTTGAAAAATTTCTTGAGGCACGGTCTGGATAGTCGAAGCAATCGTCATGGAGGCGGATTGCTGCAAGTATCTGGGATTCACTACCACTACAACGAAATGGAATTAGTGTCCGTACTATGGGATCCCCAAACGACAGGTTCTCCTGGGAGCTCGGTTTCGCATCAGTTTTATCTCGATACCACGCAGCAATCCGTGTTGGATACCTGCCAAGTTCATTCGCAAGCCACTCACCAACGAGTCAATCTTGATGAAAAGGGGACCTTCAATGTCATTGTCACAGACTGGTTGGCCATGGGTGGGGATGGGTATGGAGAATTGGTAGAGCAAGCCGAGGCGTACCACGAGACAAACATTACCTTGATGGACGCCGTCTTATCCCATTCCACAGCCTTGCCGCGGATTAAATATGGCAAGGCACATCGTCGGATATGGGCTGGTACGGAAGAAATGATAGTGGCAGAAGCGACAAGGAGCGGTATATCAGGCTTCATGGGGGGAGCAGTGGCCTTTTGGATTACCTTTCCCATGTACACCTTGTTTGTCCGAAAGAGCGTGGAAACTCAACGCCAACGACCTTCCACATACATTAACAGCTGGTTCCAATTGTGGGATGGTGCTTTCATGGGAACTGTCGCCACTGCAACAGCTGACGCGATCTATTTTATAGTGTTTAGTTTTTCCAGTGTGGTGGTATTTCGTGGGGTCGGCAAGTCCTTTATTGCCGCGACGGTGAATGGAATTATTACTACACCCATGTGGGTGCTGGCAACGCAAAAGCAGCTGCGACACGAATCGGTAATAACCTTGGCACGAAAGATCTATCGCAATAGTGGTTGGTGGGGATTCTTTGAGTCATTACCGCTGAACATGATCATGTGCATATACCCAGTGGTCCGGCAGGCAATTTTGGAATGGCTCAACGAAATAACGAGCAATATGGTGGTATCAGCCACTCTAGCAAGTGCGGTGGCCACCATTGTCACATATCCCATTCAAAAGTGGCGTATTCGACTGCAATCCGGCGAAAAAGGCACCATCTGGGAGACCTTTCAATGGAACAACTTTTTCAAGGGACTGGATTACAAATTACTGGATACCTGTTCCAAGATTTTCATTTTGTTCTTGGTCAAGGAACACATTGACGTCGCTCTTTGCATACTAGACACTCAATAGAAAATGCTAACGATAGCACTGTGAACGTAGAGAAAGAGTAGAAGTAGAGAGGAGAATGGAGATGTGAAATGTAGCTTTGTGGCACATAGGATCCCGTCTCAATCGTCTATTAACTGAAACCAGGTGCCGTACTGCCAAATCAGGCTACAAAATCACGAAATCCACCATCGTGTCCTGCAAGATCCGTTCCTTTTAGTCTAATTCAATGGGATTGTTGATCTTGCCTAATTCATCATCGGGCAGAATCAGATTTTGTACTCGCACTCTCACTTTATCTTTTTCCAATAGAAAGTGATTCCTATTTCGTTTGAAGCATTTACTAATCTTTGGATATCCATGTCGTTTGCGATCAAAGTTTTGACCAATGGAAGAGAGACTTGCCCATCCATACTCGTTGGAGTTCTGGTTGATGACCTCAACAAGAGCCTTAATCAAGCGCTGGTCTCCATTGTGTTTCTGAACCGGAACTATTTTGCCTTTTTTCTGGTTATCGACGACGTCAAGGACAACTTCATCCGATTGTTGGTCTTCATTGCGTTTCCTTTTCGTTTTGCTTTTTGTCTTGTTTTCGAAGGCATTTTCATTGTCCTCCAAAGTTGCTGCCTCCACAGCATTTGCTGCTGCCGTATTTTCCTCCACGGTTACTGCTTTACGTTTCGGAACCTCGTTGCGCTTCGGAATTATTGTGCTTATCGTCTTTCCTTTGAAGGTATCGACGTAAAAAAAATTCTTGTACTCTTGTACAAGTGCTAACGGTGTTTTCCGTTCTCCAAACCCCACTATTTCCTTACCGGCTTGTTTAAGTCGCCGTGCAAGTGGAGTGAAATCCGAATCCGATGTGACGAGTACAAAACATTCGATGTCGGAGAGATCCCGCAGCATGTCCATAGCACCAATTATCATAGCCATGTCTGATGTCCCCTTGCCTTTGACAAAAGAGGGCGCTGAGACTTTGACAAAGGAAAACTTGGATAGTGCTTCGTTCCATGGTTCCAGATGTGACATTCTGAAGTCAGCATAGGCTCTTCTTATTGTGGCACTGTACCCCATCGAATCTAAAATTGGCATTATCCACTGAAGGCTTCTATGGGGCACATTTTCAACGTCTACCAGTACTGCGCAAGACTTCATCTGGTTTTGGGGGTTCTATCAATAGTGGAAGATGGATGGAACGGATGATTGATTCCAACATCCACCAGCTTTGTTAAAGGCAACGGTCTCCTTCCCTGTTTCTCCAAATTCAAAATATCGGGGATTTGTTGACAGCAATTTCCTTCCCTTCTTTATCAAGGGGAACGCGATCCCTAAATCGATGTACTTCCAAAGCCCTTCACGGATCACAAGGTCAAGGAAGACAAAGACGTCAACATTTGCATACAAGGCACCCAATACAAAAAATTAAGCACTACCATTTTGAGAAAAAATGAGGCAGACGAGCATTCCTATTCTGTTTCGCTGTCTCAACCAAAAGACCCCGGCACGGTTAGTCTGACCTCCCACCCCCACACACAACGACTATAACCGGCTTGCTCACAGAAATACTGCTCGCAGAAACAGCCAAGACAAAATACACACATCACGACATAAAAACATCACCACCAGAACGCACTATTGCTATCCTTTTGTTTGTGTTGTTCCAACCGAACCCCAGGAACAAACTGAAATCTTCCTTCCCCTTTCATCAGTGGTAGCTCTTGGCACTTCTTCCAATCTCCTCAGAGACAGGTTCCTCCATCCGCTTCTGCATACTGAGCTTTTCACGTATTTGTTCCTCAACTTTCATTGTGCAAAGTGACAAACAGTATGTAACATAAAAGCTGCATTGTGTCCTGCCAAATCCTTGCTTTAGCAGGTTGGAGATTTGGTGCATTCAAATAATGAAGATGACTGGACAGGTATGGATGCTACTACTGCTGCTGCTAGCGCCATGACAAAAGGAAGGACAAGACCAGCAGTGAGACCAGGACAGCAACAACATCAAATTGCTACTCCACTTCAACCTACTTGACAAACTTTCCATCAGTACTAGCTTGTGGCATTTTCAATCTCCTCAGAGACAAGTTCCTCCATCAACTTCTGCATAATGAGCTTTTTACATATCTGTTCCTCAACTTTCATCGTGCAAAGTGACAAACAGTATGTAGCATAAAAGCTGCATTGTGTCCTGCCAAGTCCTCGCTTTAACAGGTTGGAGATTTGGTGTATTAAGTAATGAAGATGACTGGACCGTCTATAGGTATGGATGCTGCTGCTATGGCTGCCATGATGGTGATATTTCAGTTTCTGGCAGCCCTACACTTTCCTACACTGGTTACAACTGGGACAATGACACTGCCACTAGATTTTCCATTCAATCCATGTCGTCCACCAGTTCAGGAGCCGGTAGTACTCTGGGAATGATCAAAAGTCAGTCTTATCAGTTGGTCTTGTCAGACCGGGACTACATTTGTCCCCATGACTTCATTTGTCCTCATGCATGCCTGCTGTAACTGATACACCAAGACGCATCCGCAAGCACTATCATGGATTGTCATGGATTGTCACCATGATTGTTGTCATTGCCTTCATTGTCATTATGGTTGTGTCTCAATTGTTATTGTGGATCTTGAAAGAATCAGAGGTGAATAGGTCATCCTCTATTCAACCTTCTTTGTTTTGTGTGCACATGCTGACACCAACAATGCTTTGCAGTCCCCTACATTGACTATGATTGCATGTAGTGTCTGCTTTAATTGACACAAAACAACACTTGGCTCTGCATCATCACCACCATAGAGATGATTCAATAGTCTTGTTAGAATGGCCTGGCTTCCTTCAGCCACCATGGTCCCTTGTCAGCAGCACCTGCTTTTCAATTTGCAACAAGTAAATCATTCTACAAGGCGGCAATTGCTTTGTCGCTTTTCAGGTTTTGCTCTCTTGTCTAGTTCAATATTATTCATGTTCCCCACACTGATTTGTCTGGACACACTGATGGTGTCTTGGGCAGCAATCAAAGACAGAGGGACCAGTGTAAGGGTACCCACACCAAAATCACATTATGGATCATGCCAGTCAGTAGACTTCTACACCACCTATGTCATAAATACCGATTGCTTGCACCATCTTCATTTCATCTGGCCAAGTGCTGCTCCTTTTCAAATTGCAGGCCAGGGAGGACATGTTGGCCTCATCCCTTTAGATCGAGTATATGTACAGTCACATCGTATCTATTAAAGCAGACAGCTCTTTTCCTTTGTCTTCAAGTGTTTGTAAAGCTTCAACCCAGCTGCCAACTTCTGACTACAAATAGTGACTATTGTATTATACAGTATTACATACTGAAGGGTACTATATCATTACCGCGCATTTCCGCACAAAACGTATATCAAAATCATATACTTTTCCGCTAGGCGTGGAAATCATCCGCCATACGAGTTACGAATACACGATGCGAATTCAAGTTGGGACACATTTTGTTATGTAGAAATTGTACTAAATTGCACGTAGACCAGAATACTGGTCTGGTTTCAGATACCGCATGGTATATTCAAATATGCGTTCGAAAACATGAAACATCAATAACGATGGAACGAACAAATGAAACAAAAGGAGACACAAGAAACGAAGATATTTATGTAAATGTAATACCTCTGGCCTCGCTGTGGATTTTCTCAATAATGGCTCACTCCAAAACCTGTACCAGGTAAGAGTTGTTGGCATCACTTTTGTCAACCCATCATCTATCAACGGAACACGCTGCATGGACCGGGATACCACAAAACTTGCAACAAAACTTGCAACGGTGCGCTCCTCCAGGTCCTTCTTTTGCACAAAACTCGGCTTCGCATCCAGCACATGCACATTTGCCCACTTTCGCTGGCGTTGTGCAAGGTTGGAATCCTCTTGTTTTGTTGCCAAACATATCAATCAGCCGCGGACATAAAATTGCGTTGATTTCCACCACATTGTTGGGCACAAGATAACTTGCTACTTGATCCTCTTTGTGTTGGCGTCTGTTGAGTTCTTGTTGATATTATCATGGCCATGATGACCATCAGGAGCATTATTTTGGCTCTCTTTTGTGAAGAACATGCTGTATGACATTCCTTCTTCATCTCCAGTTTTGACAACACTTCTTCATCACCTGACTCAACAATCAACACTGTTCTGTGATGGCAGGTCCATGAGGCTATTGATGCTTTGATTTGATACCGGTCGTTGTTTTGCTTGGATGCCTGTGTTCTTTGCGGAGAAAATCACTGCCATACTCACTTGTTGCTGTTGTTCCAGATGGCCAATATCGTTGTCAAACCAATGACTGTTTGGAATCTTGCCTTTTGCAGCAAACCATTGGGTCCAGCAGAGATACAAAAAACTTCTGGTTTAAATCCAAAATTGGATGGAGCCCAGAACACCAGTGGCAGCTTCTGTCACGACAAAAAGCAGGGATGTGGTGGAGTGGCAATACCGTTGTTCAAGTTTCATCACTCCTAGAATGCATGACTTCATAGCCGAAGGCCTCCATAGTATAATATAACACCACAGTATAATATAAGAGATTAGTTGACTGTGAATCGTTTATTTTATGTTCTTTTTTCTTGGCGATTCTTCCCCTAGAATGAACCAGACATATTCTCTCCTAAGTATCAGATCAGCAGCCATCTTGGTATCTATTGGAATATTACATGTCAACTAATTGAGGGGGGGGCACATGCACTAGTACTTCACATCCAAACAACGAAGTATAGAAAAAGATAACAATCATTTCTAGTAAACTATTTTAGGTCTTCCCCCCAAGATATGACAGGGAGTTGTTACTTCATCTCCTTGACCAAAGTGGTTGGAGTACTTTCAATATCATCCCATTGTAGGGGCAATGCTTAGAGGATGCACGATGTAGGTCCTTGCAAGACTGATCACCTCTTTTGGGAAGGAAGAACTTCTTCTTGAAGTACTACCACTACTAGCTAGCCTAGTAGTACTAGTACTGGTAGGCGTCAAAGATATACCCCATGGTCCAGTCGCCATGATTCACAGTAGCTGACACATCGTGTTGTCTCCAGAGGATGCATGCCCCCAAGCTTGCTGGGGCATTTCCCTCGTTTCTCTCTTTGGGTGTCCTTGATGTGTTCTTGGAGTGCAATATGCCATGATATTGTGCCATGAAGCATCATTCTATCCACGATAAGATATGTTTATATGGTGAAGGGACGTACAGACGTTACAGTACAATAGACGAAATACGTTTCAGCTGTTCACCACAGTATAACATACTGCTGTATTTGAAGTTTGTTGTGAAAATTTGTGAAGTATTCCATGTTTCTGTCCTTCCACTCCGGATTTTTTCACCAGATGTGGGAGGTAAAGGTCAGAATAACCGTGCCGGTGTCTTTTGGTAAATGCCACACGAGTACAGTACCAGGTAAACTGTACCGTATGTTCATGCTTTATCCTCGGTTCATGTGCTTGTACGCTGCGGGTACTTGTATAGTCCTTTAACAACAAATACGACTGCCTGAGAAGAAATCCGCATTCGTACTCGCTCGTCATGCAACGTGGTTTCGTTATGATTAGTCAGCTGGCGAAACAGATGGGACGCTTTCTGACAGCTGATCGCAAATTGTGTAAAGAATGTGCTAAATATCTAGCTATAGCGCCGAATTCATCGTAGGATGTACACAAAATCGAACCAAGTTCCAGGTGACGGTAGGTAGAATGAATGAATGGAAGCGCGCGGTCCATTCGGTTTCTTCGCAGTGAGACAAGCTGAATCAACTCAAGTAACACAAAAGTCCGTGGAGAGCCAGTGTATTGGTCAACTACCAGTTATTACAGCTTCGAGTACTTGAGGTGATGATGCAGTATGTTTCGCATCGAAACACGAGCCCAACAGCCGAAGGGAAGACAATATGTTGAAATCTGAAGTGTGCAAGAAGAACATTGAAAGCAGACGCTCTTTTCTCATCATTCATTCGAAAGAGGTAGTATGCGTTTCACTTCATCCTGGGACAATGCGATAGTAGCAGACTATCGAAAGGAAGTGTCATATGCTGCCATGACTGGTTCGAGGAGTCGCTGACCTGGACGTCCTCAGGGGCCTAAAACTCGAACGAGCGACGAAGCGTGTTTGGGCTTTATGTGTTCCTAGGTCTTGCAAAGTTTCACCTAAAGAGGAATTGGGAGCTTGGACCACCGAAAACTTAATGGAAACGAGGCGCATCTTGCCTCATTTGAAGGATCGAGAGGCCATATAGTCAATATCCGCTTACGACTCCTCTTGGCGCCACGATTGATTCGTTCGTTCGTTCGTTCACAGCCATCTCATCATCATACCGATGTCTGACTCGTGAAGCGCGCAGCAGCTTGAAAAGAAAGGACAATAAACGCTGCACTTGGGCTCGTCAAACCTTCTTGGAGTATCCATTTGAGACATTCGTGCAGTGGAGTATACAAGGCCAATTTCCTCTGGGAAAGGATGCGGGCGAGTCGACATGGAATGTATGACAGGCCCACGATCAATGATGATGTTGTGTGGTCACTGAAGATGTATCCCAAATGACAATGACTGCCGAACTGGTGAAGCATTGATTCACTCACTGGCGGCGCTTCAGCACCAACCAAGGCATCTCTCGCTACGCCTCTGCGTTCAACTCAAAGGATGGCCTTGCAGCTTTCAGTTTTCCTGTCGCTGTACTTGGGCAACCGAGACGTGCAGCTTCTGATCTCTGATGAACGACTTCCTCATATTGATGGCCTCGACAGGTGATGTAGGTTTTGACAAAAGATAACACTGCATCCTAACAGGTGTGAGTTGTTGCCCCCCGCCTTACCAGTGTTGCCAAACGCACTTCATCATTGAACATAGAAGCTCGTAGTATCGAAAAGTGCAGCCTCTCATCTCTGGTGATTGAATCTCTCATTGTGGGCTCACCAACCGGTGCAGGTTGTGCTGGCTAACAAACGAAAGCAGACGCTGATGATTCCTAACATTTGTGAGTTGTTGCCCCACAAATATTCTACCAGTGTTGACAGCCGCAGTCCACCATTGGACATAGAAGCTCATAGTATCGTTGCACTTCAAGATGGACATCATGCATGGAGATGCCAGAGACGTCAAGTTCGCTTTAGGAAGAACATTCTACCGGTCGGCGCAATCTGCGCTCGACGGGATATTAGCACACGGAAATTGCTGCTTTATTCCGTGTTTATTCGTACGAATAAAATTGGGAAATTTGCATAATATATATGCGGGCTGCGCTGATGCTTCTGATGTGAACGGTAACCATATTGAGCGACAGTCCATTTCTTTTTGTCTATTGTGTCATATTTCAAAGGCTAGGAAGGCCCAGCAGCCATTCAATTGATACGATTTCAGGAGGTATATCAACTAGATGGATGATACCGTCAAGCAACCAGCAATAAGCGAGGCGTTGTCTGATGGCGAGGAACCAAAGCAAGAAACCAAATCGTCTACATCTGCCGCAGCCGCAGCTGTTTGGTCGACTGCCAATGATGATTGTATTCTCTTTGGCAGAGGGAAGGGTTGCAATAATCACCCTGCAAACAAGAGAATGCGACTTGTCATAGAAGGCTACAGGGATAGGTATCAAGGTGCAGGGCGCGGAGGGAAGCGAAAGGTTGTCCATGAAATATACAGAGAACTGGTCGAAGCTGGTATGAAGTTCTTGAAGCAGGAAGAGGGACTAGATGGATGGGTTGAAGCGGACGCTGATGAAGCTATCAAGAAGGTGGGCCATGCAATGCGATGTCCAAGGATCAGAATACGAAATGAAGCAGACTTGGGTGACCAATCTAATGTTGCCAGTGGCTTCTCAGCAGCAGCATACCGGTTTTCACACGCACGAGCTGATACTGGCGATATACTGGAAAACAATTCGGCTGGCATTGGCCGAGAGAGTATTTCTGGGCTGCTAGGAGCTTTGCCTAGTATGTCCGCTGTTGTAAGAGCCGGTTTCCTGTCACGGGGCACTTTGGGACATCAGGAGACACCGAGAGTGGCCTTGCCTGTGCTATCCGACCCTCTGCTTTCTTTGGGACGTATTCCAATGCAAATGAATCTGACTTCGTTGTACGCAGGTGCATCGGCATCGATGGGATTCGCGGCACCGGCCATGGGCCTGAATGGATTGTCATCCTCTCTTGAGTTGTTAGTTATGGTTGAGAGGGAACGCCAGTTTCGGGAAGCCATGCTGAGCATCATCAATCCCAGAAGGAATACAGAACAGCGCTGAAGAATGTCAAAGCGAATATATGCTTTCGACACTACTCTTCACGAATCATCACCACAGTGACACAGGGAGTCAACGAAATTTTCGTACCAGCCAGCAGCAGCCGCCACAATTGGGAAACGACGGTTCCAGCCGAACTGCTTCGGAGAGGACGGACAGCATCATTATTAGTAGTAGCATTGGAAACAGCAATGGTCCGGGATACGATACTGGCAATGTTGGCCACAACAAGAAACGCAAAAGTATGGAGGCAAAATATTCGTGGGTGCGACACCACAATATATGGGGGCAGTCGGAAACAATCTATGGGACACTAATAGACCTAATCTAATAAAAAGGATCACGATATCGCCTTTCTTACTTGCTATTAATTGATGTTGGAAATACCAGAGATTTCTATTAGGGAACATGTGCTGTACAAGAGCATCGATCGGTATCCGTGCAGTGCAGTACTTGCAAAGCCCTTTAACAACAAATACGACTGCCTGAGAAGAAACCCGGATTCGTACTCGCTCGTCATGCAACGTGGTTTCGTCATGATCAGTCAGCTGGCGAAACAGATGGGACGCTTTCTGACAGCTGATCGCAAATTGTGTAAAGAATGTGCTAAATATCTAGCTATAGCGAATTCATCGTAGGATGTACACAAAATCGAACCAAGTTCCAGGTGACGGTAGGTAGAACGAATGAATGAAAGCGCGCGGTCCATTCGGTTTCTTCGCAGTGAGACAAGCTGAATCAACTCAAGTAACACAAAAGTCCGTGGAGAGCCAGTGTATTGGTCAACTACCAGTTATTACAGCTTCGAGTACTTGAGGTGGACATAGAGGTGATGATGCAGTATGTTTCGCATCGAAACACGAGCCCAACAGCGGAAGGGAAGGCACCATGTTGAAATCTGAAGTGTGCAAGAAGAACATTGAAAGCAGACGCTCTTTTCTCATCATTCATTCGAAAGAGGTAGTATGCGTTTCACTTCATCCTGGGACAATGCGATAGTAGCAGACTATCGAAAGGAAGTGTCATATGCTGCCATGACTGGTTCGAGGAGTCGCTGACCTGGACGTCCTCAGGGGCCTAAAACTCGAACGAGCGACGAAGCGTGTTTGGGCTTTATGTGTTCCTAGGTCTTGCAAAGTTTCACGTAAAGAGGGATTGGGAGCTTGGGCCACCGAAAACTTATTGGAAACGAGGCACATCTTGCCTCATTTGAAGGATCGAGAGGCCATATAGTCAATATCCGCTTACGACTCCTCTTGGCGCCACGATTGATTCGTTCGTTCGTTCGTTCACAGCCATCTCATCATCATACCGACGTTTGACTCGTGAAACGCACAGCTGCTTGAAAAGAAAGGACAATAAACGCTGCACTTGGGCTCGTCAAACCTTCTTGGAGTATCCATTTGAGACATTCATGCAGAGGAACATACAAGGCCAATGTCCTCTGGGAAAGACATCTTTTTTCAACGGATGCGGGCGAGTCGACATGGAATGTATGACAGGCCCACGATCAATGATGATGTTGTGTGGTCACTGAAGACGGTATCCCAAATGACAATGACTGCCGAACTGGTGAAGCATTGATTCACTCACTGGCGGCGCTTCAGCACCAACCAAGGCATCTCTCGCTACGCCTCTGCGTTCAACTCAAAGGATGGCCTTGCAGCTTTCAGTTTTCCTGTCGCTGTACTTGGGCAACCGAGACGTGCAGCTTCTGATCTCTGATGAACGACTTCCTCATATTGATGGCCTCGACAGGTGATGTAGGTTTTGACAAAAGATAACACTGCATCCTAACAGGTGTGAGTTGTTGCCCCCCGCCTTACCAGTGTTGCCAAACGCACTTCATCATTGAACATAGAAGCTCGTAGTATCGAAAAGTGCAGCCTCTCATCTCTGGTGATTGAATCTCTCATTGTGGGCTCACCAACCGGTGCAGGTTGTGCTGGCTAACAAACGAAAGCAGACGCTGATGATTCCTAACATTTGTGAGTTGTTGCCCCACAAATATTCTACCAGTGTTGACAGCCGCAGTCCACCATTGGACATAGAAGCTCATAGTATCGTTGCACTTCAAGATGGACATCATGCATGGAGATGCCAGAGACGTCAAGTTCGCTTTAGGAAGAACATTCTACCGGTCGGCGCAATCTGCGCTCGACGGGATATTAGCACACGGAATTGCTGCTTTATTCCGTGTTTATTCGTACGAATAAAATTGGGAAATTGCATAATATATATGCGGGCTGCGCTGATGCTTCTGATGTGAACGGTAACCATATTGAGCGACAGTCCATTTCTTTTTGTCTATTGTGTCATATTTCAAAGGCTAGGAAGGCCCAGCAGCCATTCAATTGATACGATTTCAGGAGGTATATCAACTAGATGGATGATACCGTCAAGCAACCAGCAATAAGCGAGGCGTTGTCTGATGGCGAGGAACCAAAGCAAGAAACCAAATCGTCTACATCTGCCGCAGCCGCAGCTGTTTGGTCGACTGCCAATGATGATTGTATTCTCTTTGGCAGAGGGAAGGGTTGCAATAATCACCCTGCAAACAAGAGAATGCGACTTGTCATAGAAGGCTACAGGGATAGGTATCAAGGTGCAGGGCGCGGAGGGAAGCGAAAGGTTGTCCATGAAATATACAGAGAACTGGTCGAAGCTGGTATGAAGTTCTTGAAGCAGGAAGAGGGACTAGATGGATGGGTTGAAGCGGACGCTGATGAAGCTATCAAGAAGGTGGGCCATGCAATGCGATGTCCAAGGATCAGAATACGAAATGAAGCAGACTTGGGTGACCAATCTAATGTTGCCAGTGGCTTCTCAGCAGCAGCATACCGGTTTTCACACGCACGAGCTGATACTGGCGATATACTGGAAAACAATTCGGCTGGCATTGGCCGAGAGAGTATTTCTGGGCTGCTAGGAGCTTTGCCTAGTATGTCCGCTGTTGTAAGAGCCGGTTTCCTGTCACGGGGCACTTTGGGACATCAGGAGACACCGAGAGTGGCCTTGCCTGTGCTATCCGACCCTCTGCTTTCTTTGGGACGTATTCCAATGCAAATGAATCTGACTTCGTTGTACGCAGGTGCATCGGCATCGATGGGATTCGCGGCACCGGCCATGGGCCTGAATGGATTGTCATCCTCTCTTGAGTTGTTAGTTATGGTTGAGAGGGAACGCCAGTTTCGGGAAGCCATGCTGAGCATCATCAATCCCAGAAGGAATACAGAACAGCGCTGAAGAATGTCAAAGCGAATATATGCTTTCGACACTACTCTTCACGAATCATCACCACAGTGACACAGGGAGTCAACGAAATTTTCGTACCAGCCAGCAGCAGCCGCCACAATTGGGAAACGACGGTTCCAGCCGAACTGCTTCGGAGAGGACGGACAGCATCATTATTAGTAGTAGCATTGGAAACAGCAATGGTCCGGGATACGATACTGGCAATGTTGGCCACAACAAGAAACGCAAAAGTATGGAGGCAAAATATTCGTGGGTGCGACACCACAATATATGGGGGCAGTCGGAAACAATCTATGGGACACTAATAGACCTAATCTAATAAAAAGGATCACGATATCGCCTTTCTTACTTGCTATTAATTGATGTTGGAAATACCAGAGATTTCTATTAGGGAACATGTGCTGTACAAGAGCATCGATCGGTATCCGTGCAGTGCAGTACTTGCAAAGCCCTTTAACAACAAATACGACTGCCTGAGAAGAAACCCGGATTCGTACTCGCTCGTCATGCAACGTGGTTTCGTCATGATCAGTCAGCTGGCGAAACAGATGGGACGCTTTCTGACAGCTGATCGCAAATTGTGTAAAGAATGTGCTAAATATCTAGCTATAGCGAATTCATCGTAGGATGTACACAAAATCGAACCAAGTTCCAGGTGACGGTAGGTAGAACGAATGAATGAAAGCGCGCGGTCCATTCGGTTTCTTCGCAGTGAGACAAGCTGAACCAACTCAAGTAACACAAAAGTCCGTGGAGAGCCAGTGTATTGGTCAACTACCAGTTATTACAGCTTCGAGTACTTGAGGTGGACATAGAGGTGATGATGCAGTATGTTTCGCATCGAAACACGAGCCCAACAGCGGAAGGGAAGGCACCATGTTGAAATCTGAAGTGTGCAAGAAGAACATTGAAAGCAGACGCTCTTTTCTCATCATTCATTCGAAAGAGGTAGTATGCGTTTCACTTCATCCTGGGACAATGCGATAGTAGCAGACTATCGAAAGGAAGTGTCATATGCTGCCATGACTGGTTCGAGGAGTCGCTGACCTGGACGTCCTCAGGGGCCTAAAACTCGAACGAGCGACGAAGCGTGTTTGGGCTTTATGTGTTCCTAGGTCTTGCAAAGTTTCAC